TATGGTCTCTTTGTTGCTTCTTTTGTCCCCTTTCAGCTTCTTTTGTTTAATTTCAGCATTTATGTCTTTTTGTAACTTCTTCTGTCCCCTTTCAGCTTCTTTTGTTTCATTTCAGAATCTATGGTCTTTTTGTAGCTTCTTTTGTCCCCTTTTAGCTTCCTTTCTTTCATTTCGGAATCTATGGTCTCTTTGTTGCTTCTTTTGTCCCTTTTCAATTAAACTTGTTTCTCTTCAGACTCTGGTTATTTAACAGCTAACTTTTGTCATTATTCAACATTTTTAGCTCGACTATTCGCAGAATAATCGAGCTAATGCAGTCACCCATTTGTCGGCGTCGGCGTCCCTGTGGTTAAGTTTTTGTATGTAAGCTGGTATCTCTATAACTACTGAAGGGAATGGATTGAAACTTCACACACTTGTTCTCTGTGATTATCTAACATGATTGGCACAAGTCCCATAACTCTGATTTGCTTTTTTGCATAATTATGCCCCCTTTTTCGACTTAGAAATTCTTGGTTAAGTTTTTGCGTGTAAGCTGGTATCTCCATAACTACTGAAGGGAATGGATTGAAACTTCACACACTTGTTCTCTGTGATTATCTAACATGATTGGCACAAGTCCCATAACTCTGATTTGCTTTTTTGCATAATTATGCCCCTTTTTCGACTTAGAAATTCTTGGTTAAGTTTTTGCGTGTAAGCTGGTATCTCCATAACTACTGAAGGGAATGGATTGAAACTTCACACACTTGTTCTCTGTGATTATCTAACATGATTGGCACAAGTCCCATAACTCTGATTTGCTTTTTTGCATAATTATGCCCCTTTTTCGACTTAGAAATTCTTGGTTAAGTTTTTGCGTGTAAGCTGGTATCTCCATAACTACTGAAGGGAATGGATTGAAACTTCACACACTTGTTCTCTGTGATTATCTAAGATAATTGGCACAAGTCCCATAACTCTGATTTGCTTTTTTACATAATTATGCCCCTTTTTCGACTTAGAAATTCTTGGTTAAGTTTTTGCATGTAAGCTGGTATCTCCATAACTACTGAAGGGAATTGAATGAAACTTCACACACTTGTTCTCTGTGATTATCTAACATGATTGGCACAAGTCCCATAACTCTGATTTGCTTTTTTAACATAATTATGCCCCTTTTTCGACTTAGAAATTCTTGGTTAAGTTTTTGCGTGTAAGCTGGTATCTCCATTACTACTAGAGGGAATGGATTGAAACTTCACACACTTGGTCTCTGTGATTATCTAAGATGATTGGTACAAGTCCCATTACTCTGATTTGCTTTTTTGCATAATTATGCCCCTTTTTCGACTCATGAATTCTTGGTTAAGTTTTTGCATGTAAGCTTGTATCTCCATAACTACTGAAGGGAATGTATTGAAACTTGAAGAGTTTGTACCTTTTCGGACAATTTTATGTATTCATATAGGTAAGCATTATTATACTCAATGAAACACCTTTGTGACAAATTTTCGAATAGTCGAGCGTTACTGTCCTCCGACAGTTCTTGTTAGTTTCTCAAGTTTCTTCAGGTTAATATAAAGTGTTGTTTGTCCATAAAATCAACTTTATTTGTGGCATGTCTGTGGCTGAGTGGTTAAGTTTTTTGACATTAAAGCACTTACACCTCACCGTTGTGGGTTCCAATCCTGCCATGGACTTTGGATTCTTTCCAGGTAGCTAACAAAACATTATGGTGGTTCTATTCAAGTGCCTGTTTGCATGTGCCTGAAATAGTGCTAGGATCGAGGGGTACCTGAGGTTTACCTTGCCATTATGACCTTTACTGTGTTGGTAACACGTCAGATTTTTGCAGGTTTCTAATATCTTAACTTTTTTTTCAGCTTTTTGTGTCGCCTTGAAAAGGTGACATATAGGGGTTACTTTTGTCGGCGGCGTCTGTGTCGGCGGCGTCGTTGTCGGCGTCCCCTTAATCTTGTCCAGAGCATAACTTAGTCACTTATAATAAGTCTAATTGATTTCAAACTTGGTATGCATGCTTGTTTCAATAACCCGAAGTGCAGTGCACAAGGACGGGTACTCTGCAGTTCTTATTTTTTTAGTTATTGCCCTTTGTTAATTTTCATACTTTAATTTTGTCCGGGCCATTTCTCTTCAACTAAAAAAGCTATGGACTTGAAACTTCATAGGATGATAGATCTCATTAAGAAGAAGTGCAGTGCACAAGAACCGGTACTCTGCACTTCCTTATTTTTGAGTTATTGCCCTTTGTTAATTTTCATACTTTATTTTTGTCCGGGCCATTTCTCCTAATGTATAAAAGCCATGGACTTGAAACTTCATAGGATGATAGGTCTCATTAAGAAGAAGTGCAGTGCACAAGAACAGGTACTCTGCATTTCTTATTTTTAGCTCACCTGTCACAAAGTGACAGGGTGAGCTTTTGTGATCGCTTTTCGGCTTGCGTCCGTCCGTCCGTCCGGCGTCCGTCGTCTATCCGTAAACTTTTACTTTAAATGACATCTCCTCATAAACCACTAAGCCAATTTCATCCAAACTTCACAGGAATGTTCCTTTGATGGTCACCTTTAAAAATTGTTCAAAGAATTTAATTCCATGCAGAACTCTGGTTGCCATGGCAACCGAAAGAAAAAACTTTAAATATCTTCTTTTAAAAAACCATAAGAGATAGAGCAAAGATATTTGGCATGAAACATCTTCTAGTGAGTGTCTACCAAGTTTGTTCAAATAAAAGCCCTGGGGTCAAAATTGGCCCCGCCCCAGGGGGTCATTGATTTTCCCTATATGCATATTGTAAAAACTTAAAAATCTTCTTTTAAAGAACTCAAAGAGCTATGGCTAAGATATTGAGCATCAAACATGTTCTAATAGGTGTCTACCAAGTTTGTTCAAATAAAAGCCCTGGGGTGAAAATTGGCCCCGCCCTGGGGGTCATTGATTTTCCCTATATGCATATAGTAAAAACTTAAAAAATCTTCTTTTAAAGAACCCAAAGAGCTAGAGCTAAGATATTTAGCATCAAACATGTTCTAATGGGTGTCTACCAAGTTTGTTCAAATAAAAGCCCTGGGGTCAAAATTGGCCCAGCCCCGGGGGGTCATTGATTTTCCCTATATGCATATAGTAAAAACTTAAAAAAAATTCTTTTAAAGAACTCAAAGAGTTAGAGCTAAGATATTGAGCATCAAACATGTTCTAATAGGTGTTTACCAAGTTTGTTCAAATAAAAGCCCTGGGGTCAAAATTGGCCCCGCCCCAGGGGGTCATTGATTTTCCCTATATGCATATAGTAAAAACTAAAAAAATCTTCTTTTAAAGAACCAAAAGAGTTAGAGCTAAGATATTTAGTATTAAAACATGTTCTAATAGGTGTCTACCAAGTTTGTTCAAATAAAAGCCCTGGGGTGAAAATTGGCCCCGCCCCGGGGGGTCATTGATTTTCCCTATATGCATATAGTAAAAACTTAAAAAATCTTCTTTTAAAGAACCCAAAGAGCTAGAGCTAAGATATGTAGCATCAAACATGTTCTAATGGATGTCTACCAAGTTTGTTCAAATAAAAGCCCTGGGGTCAAAATTGGCCCCGCCCCAGGGGGTCATTGATTTTCCCTATATGCATATAGTAAAAAACTTAAAAATTTTTCTTTTAAAGAACTCAAAGAGCTATGGCTAAGATATTGAGCATCAAACATGTTCTAATAGGTGTTTACCAAGTTTGTTCAAATAAAAGCCCTGGGGTCAAAATTGGCCCCGCCCCAGGGGGTCATTGATTTTCCCTATATGCATATAGTAAAAACTTAAAAAATCTTCTTTTAAAGAACCAAAAGAGTTAGAGCTAAGATATTTAGCATAAAACATGTTCTAATAGGTGTCTACCAAGTTTGTTCAAATAAAAGACCTGGAGTCAAAATTGGCACCGCCCGGGGGTCATTGATTTTCCTTATATGTGTAGAGCAAAAACTTAAAAAATCTTCTTTGAAAAAACCCAAATAGCTAGAGTTAAGATATTAAGCATGAAACATGTTTTAGTGAGTGTCTACAAAGTTTGTTCAAATGAAAGACCTGGGGTCAAAAAATGGCCCCGCCCCGGGGGTCATTGATTTTCTTAATATGTGTATAGCAAAAACTTAAAATCTTCTTTGAAAAACCCAAATAGCTAGAATTTAGATATTAAGCAAGAAACATCTTCTAGTAAGTGTCTACAAAGTTTGTTCAAATAAAAGCCCTGGGGTCAAAACTGGCCCGGCTCCAGGGGTGTCATTGTTTTTAACTATATGTGTATAGTAAAAACTTTAAAAAAAATCTTCTTTTTAAAAGCCCAATGAGCTAGAGCTTAGATGTTTAGCATGAAACATCTTCTTATGGGTGTCTACCAAAGTTTGTTCAAATAAAAGCCCCTGGGTTAAATTGCCCTGCAACGTTGGGGGGGGGGTGGGGTGTGGGGCCTATATACAGGTGAGCGACCTCAGGGCCATCATGGCCCTCTTGTTTGAGTTATTGCCCTTTGTTTATTTTCATTCTTTAATTTTGTCCGGGCCATTTCTCCTTTTAAGTATAAAAGCTATGGACTTGAAACTTCATAGGATGATAGATCTTATGAAGAAGACGTGCAGTGCACAAGAATCGGTACTCTGCATTTTTAATTTTTGAGTTATTGCCCTTTGTTGATTTTCTTACTTTATTTTTGTCCTGGTCATTTCTCCTCAAGTATGAAAGCTATGGACTTGAAACATTCAGAATGATAGATCTTATTGATAAGAAGTGCAGTGCACAGAAACTGCTGCTCTGCACTTATTATTTTTTAGTTATTGCCCTTTGTTATTTTTCATATTTAATTTTTGTCCTGGCCATTTCTCCTAAACTACATTGTTCACAAGGCGACACATCCGACTCGCGGAGTTCTAGTTAATTTTGTTTCAGCTTTTTCATTTTGTTTTGAACTTTTTTTTGTCTTTTTTTCTCTTGTTTAGAAAAGAATTGTTTTTTTCTATTTACAGCATCTGGGTCATATAATAAACACAAAAGATGACAGACCAAGCTTTCAGAAACATTAACCCCAGACAGCCTTGTTTTTTGATATGGCGTGTGGAGGTAAGTACTATTATTTTGAACATATTAAGGATCTGAGGCTTTCCTTGGTGTCATAACCTTGGTCATTGGTCTACAGTGTTTTTTGAGGTGTTTGCTTCTCAAACCTGGATTTTATCACGACTTTTAACTGTTAGGAAATATTATATAATCAAACTATATATATATATAATTATATATATACAGGCTTAACTTCTTCACTGGTTTTTACCAGTTAAGCTTTACATGAAACCTCTTGATGCCTTTTAAGAATATGATTGCCATCCAAAGATTGGAAACTCAACAAATAATATTGTTTTTGCATAATATTCAACTGATGATCTTTATTTTTTAGAACATGAATGTAGTTGCAGTCCCGAAGCCTCAGTATGGTGTATTTTACAAGGGAGATTCATACATAGTCTTATCAGTAAGTGTACTGCGATTAAAATCTGCCTAAATTTCTTGTATATATTTATAATAATAACTTTTCTCCTTTTATAATCAGAGCATGGACAAGAAGGCCAGGTACCAGCAATGTTTTTTTAAGCTCACTTGAGCTAGCTCGTTGAATGTCTGTTGTCTGTCGTCCATCCACATTTTTTGGTGAAAACTCTAGTGGTCACATTTTTGCCTCAATCATCATCAAACTTTGTCAGGCTGCTTTACTGATGAAAAACTAGGTCACAGGAGCTAAAAATAGAAAAATCTTGTTAACACTCTAGTGGCTACATTTTTGATCCAAATATTTGGAAATTGGTCTATAAGTTTGTTTTGATGATTTCTAGGTCAAGTTCAAAAATGGGTAACCTGGGGTAAAAAACTAGGTCACACCGCTTAAATATGGAAAAACCTTGTTAACACTTAAGTGGTCACTTTTTTGCCTCAATCATCATCAAACTTGGTCAAGATGCTTGTCTAGTTAATTGCTTGAAAGACTTTGAACATGGTCATCTCTGAAGAAACACTAGGTCACTGGAGCTAAGAATAGAAAAATCATGTTAACTCAAGTGGCAAGTGTTGTTATCCAAATATCCTGCAAGTTTGTTTAGATGATTTTTAGGTCAAGTTGGAATAGGGGTCACCACAAACATTCAAAAGGTTGGGTTATACAACTGGACCTTGTCCATGCTCAATCAGTGTTTATATTCCTAGACTAATTGTATAACCTTTCTAAGCACTGTTTAAACACATATGAGCCGTGTCACGACAAAACCAACATAATGGGTTTGCGACCAGCCTAGATCCAGACTAGCCTGCGCATCCACGCAGTCTGATCAGGATCCATGCTATTCACTATCAGTTTCTCTACTTGTAAGAGAGTTGGTAAGGGAACAGCAGAGATCCTGATCAGTCTGCGCGGATGCGCAGGCTTGTCTGGATCCATGCTAGTCGCAAACGCACTATGTTTGTTTTGTCGTGACGCAGCTCATATATCTTCTTCTATTCAGTTATCAAAATAAGGATAAAATTTGACGTTAAAATTATTTTTTTGGAACATCTTAATAAATAGTCTGTTTTCTGTGCAATTTAATTTCTTTTTTGCTTATAAAATTCTCTTTTGGTATATTTGAAAGTAGTGAGTGAAAGACATTGTATGTTGTTAAGGATATGAAAGTAACACATAATGTCTTTCATCTTAAAGCTTTTACTTTCTATGATATATATTCTATTCATACTCTTTAATATTAATAGATGGTTTGTAGAAATTTGGCTCTTATTTGTTTCTTCAGTTTTTTTAATGTTTCCAATATTTACTCTCATATAAGACTCAGACCAGTTTTGAAATCTTGGAAAATTGCTTTGGTAGTCAATTATGTTTTCATTGATTTTTTCGTTATCTGCATAAGTCTAGGTCTATGAAACTACCTTCAAAATTAAAGAAAAAAAAACAGGCGACAAAAAAATTTTTAAAAGGTAGAAAATTTTTTTCCCTTTTTATTTCAAACCCTTTTTTTTGTTTAAGGGTTACTTGAAAAAGAAAAAAGGGCCAAAAATTTTCTCAACAAAAAGTGAGGGTTTTTTAAACCCGATTCAATTTTAGTATTTTAAAAAAATAAAATTAAGAAAATCACACAAATTTCCCTTTTTTTGTGTTATTTTCTGCTGGATTATATGTACCGGAAGCACCAACTATGCTAATGACTTGTTTATAATAAAGTGTCATAATTGTCTTGGTTACTCTGTTAGCTAGCGGCCCATTTGTTAAAGAATGTTACAGAATTCCGGTTTTAAATTTTTCTGTATCACTAATAGATCTTAAAGGCCCAATTTTCCTCAAATTTTTTGCTTTTCCAAAAAAGCTTTTTTTTTTTTTGATATATTTAAATTTTTTCAAAAAAAAAATTTATTTTTTTTGGCCCAATCCCCTAAACCTTTTTCTGTTTTTATGTTTTGAAAATTATACCATAGAGTGAGAACCCCTTTTTAGGAAAGTCAAAATATTTTTTATACTTTGTTTAAATTTGGACTTTTAGCCCAAAAATTTTTCACTTTCTACACACTATTTTCTACTGATAAGTGTCTGTGATGCTCTAAAACCATTAAAATTCATGTAAGCCATTTCTAAGAATGTACAATGTATTTGTTTCTGAAGCAAAATGTGCCTTAAATTGCATATTTATTGTAATCATGTGAGTTCAGGATGAATGGGGTTTGATATTATTTGTATTGATATAATTGAGCTAAAGTTAAATTATCAAATATCCCACATCCTTTTGAAAAAAATGGAGATTTTCAAATTTTTTGTGATTCTTAAGTATTTTCAGGTATGAATATTTTTTAAGTCTGATAATGAATTGTTTATTTATAAAGTAAAAGCAGTCAGCGAAAGAATAATTTAGATCTTTTTTCCATTTTTCTTTCATTATTTGTTCAAAAAGCAATTCGCACTAATTCAAAGTTGATAATTAACTTTCTCAGTTTTTTTTGTGATGTCATACTTATACTCTGTATGACGTACTTAAAGCCAAAGACCTCTGATAAATAAATTGTTAATAAAAGTAATGCTAAAGTCAATTGGTACAGCATTAGTCATCATCAGATATTATTTCTGGTTCTGGAGGAAAAAGCACACTGAATACCCTCTGTCAATACGTTCTTTTACTAACATAATAAACAGAGACAATTACAATGTTAATGTAAAGTAAAAGTTTTTTCATTTTTTTTTTAAAACTTGACCAGTCCATAAAGTCTGACATTTTCGTTTGGTTTTTAACAGTTAGAGTGCAAGACTTGTAATCTCGACATTGTGGGTAACGGATTCCCGGGCTGGCCAACTTAAATTACTAATCAGTCTTTCGGATAAGACTTTAAATTGAGGTCCCATGTATGAGTGCTTACACACTTGGCACGCTAAAGAACCAGAAGAAGCTTCTGGAATTGGGGCATCTTTCTGTATCTGTAATTGCAATATCCTCCAATAATCTAAAATGACTAATACTCGTCTGAAGGACTCGCCCAAAAGGGCAAACGGTGGCGAGTATAAATAAAGGCAAATACACACACATGTACACACTTCAACAAGACTGCCCCATTATTATTAAAGGCCAAACCCCTGAGTTATGGGTCCTTACATGTGGGAAAGCCACCTATCTAGCTCATAGAAAGATCTAAGGAAGCGGCCGTTGCTGAGGGTTTACGGGCTTTTAGTTTTCATAAATATTTTCTTTTTCTTGATTTTCCTGTTTTGAATTTATTTTAATCATATTAGGGCCTGCTGCATTAAACAAATTTGCATCTTTTCTTCACATGATTACAGTGTTTTTTGCATGGTGATACATTATAATGTCTTATATTTCTCTATCGTTTTATTCAGTCATACTGTAATTTAAAGGGAAAAGATTTTAAAGGCACATTATGCCTCAGAAACCAAAAAAATTTTCCTTTTTTAAAAAGTGCAGTCGAGGTTTTTAATAATTTAAAATTGTTTTAAACATGAAAAAATTACATCCCAAAAAGGCATCTTACTAAATATGAAATTATTCATCATAAAAGTTGCAAAATGTATACAAAGTAGTATTTTGACTTCCATACAAAACACTTAATCACTATAAATATGCTAATTGTAAAGAAAAGAGAAGGAAACAATTTTTCAGGTAGTATGTCATGGCCTATGAGTTACTTCCGGAAACTATAACAGTACTGGACATCAAAAATTTTCATTTCTGGGCCATAATGGGCCTTTATAAATTCTGGATTGATTGATTGTTTGATGAAAAAAAAAGATGATGTGTAAAAAAGTTTGCTGATTATAAATTAAACCGTAAACTACTGAATAAGTGTAATGGACCTTGCTATGAATTTGGAACAGTCCATTCCAAGTTTAAGGGATTTCCTTAACACTGTCAATATTCAAAATTTGGTCTGCCACCAGTATAGATTTTGGTCAGACTGCACTGAAATGCAAGCCAGCCTGTCTGCCTCTATACTGGTGACAAAGAACTTAGGTTAATCACTTTCTGTCCCAGTAGGTTTAAGGTTTGATTGCTGGCTGTATTTTAATTTGTGTTCTTGAAATTGATACCAAAATTTACAAGTTTAAACTCCTTCATATATAGAATGAACAGTATACATGTGTTTATATATTTAGTATTTGTTTCTATATTTCTTTTGTGTGTGTGTTTTTTTTCCATCATATAATTATGTCTGTTCTTATGTTCTTTAAGAGTCTTATGTTATTGGAAAATATATGTATGCCTATAACATCACGAAGGGCATAGAATTGTTCTAAAGTTTTGTCTTATTTTCTTCTTGTATAGTTATGGCCCTTTTCTTAAAGTAAAAGGGCATGCCATTTTTTGGAGACATGAGTTATGCCCCTTTTAATTATAAGAAACAGGTTTACAATTTTTGGGGGACAAAGTTATTGCTCTTTTTATATAAAGCAAACAAGCATGCACATTTTCAGGTCCAATTTTTAAAAAGCCAAGGGGCATATATACCTTATGGAGTGAAATTTGTTTGATTTTAAGTTATGACTGTTGTTTTTATATAAAATACATTTTCTTCATCTTGGTTACTATGATAACAGTTTGCATTACCGGGACAACGACGAGGAGCCAGTTCTCAGGTAACCGTGGTAACGTGATTTTGTTGTGCTGTATTTTGCTATGACAAGTCTTGGCTGTTGTGTTTTTCATGCTTTCTGTTTGAACATTTTTGCTATAAAAGTTTATGAAAGAGTTTATAATTATTTTTTTTCAAATTTAGCAATCGCCGTCAATTAATTGGCTGGTGCATGTTTATAACCCAAAATTTTACCTTCATTTTAAATTAATACCCAAAATCATTTTCAAATGAATTTTTTTCAGGGTTAAATTTCCCCTAAGTTTTAAATATTGGCTGAATGTTTTATTTTTGAAAACCCTAACCCTGCGCTTTATGTCATAAAATTTGATATGTATTTACCTCGCCTTTATTTTTGAAAATTTTTACTAATATATTTATGTTAAACAACCAACCTTCATGTATCCCTCGCTGCAAAATTATTATTTTAAATATGTATAGGGAAAACCCTTTCATTAGACCCCACGTAGGGAATCCTGTTCAGTAATATAGAAATCTTTGATGTAAAATTTTTAAAATGGTCCAGCAGTTTACATTTACTAAGGGCATGCATATGCAACAAAACACCCTACCCCCCCTTTAAAATCATCCCATGGAAATTTTTTCATAAAAGAAAAATTTTTTGCATTAGTTCTTTGAAACCTTGAAAAAGGTTTACCCTAAAAAAACCTAGAAAAAACTTTTGGCCAAATTTAAAAAAGTTTTTTCAATAATAGCTTGCACACTGCCCGGGAGAAACCCAAACCTTATGATTTCTTTTTTTAAATCTAAAAGTTTGAATTTAGAAAATTTCCCAAAAAGTTTTTAATTGAAATGACTTTTTTAAATATTCCTAAAAATTTAATATTTAAATTTTGTTTTATTACAAAAATTTTGTTTTTTGCATGAAGAGTCAGTCCAAAACCCTGCCCCCCCCCTCCCACTTCCCCCCCTCCCTGCAAGCTCCCCCCCCCTTTCCCCCTCCACTCCCCTCCCTGCACCCCAACTTTCCCCTTAAAACCCAAAAATTTTTTGGGAATTGGGCCCCCCTTTTGTATCTATTATTTACAAAATCTAGAACAAATGCCTTATTAAGTTTTGTTTGACCAACACAACTTCAAGAAACAGTAGTTTATTGGACCAAATTTCAATGCCAAATTTTGCCTTAATGTGTGTTGGAAATATCAGACTACAGTCAGACCTGTGATTAAAGGTCAATAGAGGAACAAAACATGACCTTTATAGACAAGTGGGCTTTATTTTGAGGTTACTTTGTTTTTATGCCACCGCAGCATCTGCGATGCGGTGGCATATAGCGATTCACCTGTGTGTGCGTGTGTGTGTGTTTGTTTGTTTGTTTGTTTGTGTGTGTGTGTGTGTTATATAGATTATATAGTGAACTTCAAAAATCTTCTTGTGAAAAACCACTGGTCCAATTTCAACCAAACTTGGCAGGATTGATCCTTGGGTGAAGGGCTTTCCAAAGTTGTTCAAAGAATTTTCATTCCATGCAGAAATCTTGGTTGCCATGGCAACCAAAGGATTATAAGAATAACATTTAAAAAATCTTTCTTTTAAAGACCCAAAAGGCCTAGAGCTTAGAAAGTAAAATAAAAAATTTTTACTTTTTTGCATAAAGCATTGTCTGGTAGCCTCTACTAAAAAAGATTGTTCAAATGATAGCCCTGGGGTCAAAATCGGCCCCCCCCCGGGGGTCATTGATTTTCCCCTATAATGTACATATAGTAAAAACTTAAAAACCTTCTTGTAAAGACCCAAAAGGCCTAGAGCTTTGAATATTTTGCATAAGGCATTGTCTGGTAGACCCTTAAACCAAATTGTTCAAGGGTGATAGCCCTGGGTCAAAATCGGCCCCGCCCCGGGGGTCATGGTGATTTTTCACTATATCATACAATAGTAAAACTTAAAAATACCTTCTTGTAAAGACCCCAAAAGGCGCTAGAGTTTAATAGATTTTTTTCAAAAGGGCCATTTTTGGGAAACTTTACCCAAAATTGTTAAAATAAATACCCCCTAGGGTCAAAATGGGCCCGGCCCCCGGGGGTAAATTGGGTTTTTCCTTTAGTTTTATAAAAATTATAGTTAAAACTTTAAAAAATTCTAGAAATTGAAAAATTTCTGATTTTAGATTTTTTTGGGAAATGAAAATTGTGAAATTAACCCTAAAAATTTTGTAAAATTTAAATAGCCGGGTAAAAATTTTGCCCCCACCCCCCAGGGTATTGATTTTCAAAAATTACAGTATAAAAAAAAAAGACTTTTTTCTGAAGGAAAAGGGCCTAAGTTTTTATTTTTGGTATTTAATATGGGGCCCCAAAATTTTTTAAATTAAACCCCTAGTGTGAAAAATTGCCGCCCCAAGGCGAATTTTTTCCCTTATATTTATAAATAAAAATTAAAAAAACTTTTTCTTTTTAAATTACAAACTAGGGGAAAATTATATCTTTAAACTTTGGAAAATTAAACCTCCCATGTTTGTTCAAATTTTTCCCCTTGGGTAAAAATTTGGGGTTTCCCCCCGGGGGGTTCATTTGATTTTTATTTTTGTACAATTATTTAAAAAAAATTAAAAAATTTTTTTTGTCTAAGGAAAAAGGGGCATAACTTTGATTTTTGGCTATAAAATATCATCTATGGTCCTCTACAAAGTTTGTTTTTTTTTTTCCCCTTGGGTGTAAAAATTTGGGCCTCCCCGGAGGGCATTCTCTTTTGTACCCAAAGAAAAAAACAGAAAAAAAAAACAATTTTTCTAAAAGGGGAAGAAACTACAGCTTAAAAAAATTTGCTTAAAATTTTTTGGGGGACCTTATAAAGGATTTTTAAATTTTAAACCGGGGTAAAAAATTTTCCCTTCCCCAAAGGGGGAAAAGTGACCAAACTTTTTTTTTCCCTTTTGATTCACCCAAAGGGAAATTTTGCCCATTTTCACTTTTTAATTTGAAAAAATTAAAACTTTAAAATCGGGTTCTAGATTTGTTTAGTAAACCTATTTTTTGGCCTTGGTTTTTACATTTGAAATTTAAACCGATGTGCAAAAGTTTAAAATTTTGTTAAAGTAAAATTTTTTGTATAAAGTGGTTTTGGGTTTTTTAACAAAGTGTCTTACGTGTTTCCATTGATAGAGTCAAAAATTTTTAGGGCTGGGTGAAAATATTCCCCTTCAAAACCAAATCACCAACCTAAAAGTGCTTTTAAATAATTCCTACTTGTTTTTTAATTGGTTTAAACAATAAAAAAACCAAACAAAACTGATATAAAATTTTAGTTTGGTCAGGGATCTTTTTCATTATAAAAATCTTAAAATTTAAGAAAACAAAAAAAAATTTTTGTCCCTAAACTACAAATTTTGTTTGAAATTAAGCGGGGCAAAAGTTTTTTCTCAAATGCAATCTTTTTTTTTGTTTTTTTTTTAAAAAAATTTAAAAGATTGGGCTTTTTTAGGGGGTGGTTGTTTTTCAAAAGGGTTTTTAACAAGGTTTAAACGGGTAATAAAAAATTGGGTTTGAAATTCAAAAAAAATTTGGGTTTTTTTAAGGGGGCCTTATTTGAATTTTGTAAAAAGAGACAGTTGAAATTTGTTTTATAAATTTTGTTTTTTTTTCATTAAAAAAATTCCCTGCCCTTTTAAAATTGAAAAGCCCTTTATTTTTTAAGGTTGGGCTTTTTTACATCTTTATATTTATATTTTTTCATGTTAATTTTTTTGATTAAAAAAAATTTTAATACGTTTATTTAGCCCCAAATTTTTTAAATAGTAAAAATGCCATTGTTTTGCGTTTTAAACCCAAAGGACGGGTTTTTTGATTTTTTTGTGGGGGAAATTTTTTTTTTTTAATTAAAAAAATTTTTTGGTAGGTAAAAAGATTTCACTTATTTAATCACTAAATTTTTTTAAAAAGGATTTTGGCCCAAACTCCATTAAAGCGGTCCATTTCATTTTAAGAAAAAAATTTGAGGCCCGTGTCAGACAAAACCAATAAATGGTTTTGGACCGGGCATGGACCCAGCCCGGGCCCTGCGCTTTCCCGCATCGACCCATAAGGACCCAGTTTGCCCGCTATAGTTTTCCCAATTGTTTATAGCGTTTTTAAAGGGGAACAAATATGGACTAAAACAAAAACCGGCGGGGGGATGGGGGGCCACCCGGGGTCTGGAATCCTCCCGGGTAAAAAAATTTGAAATGTTTTTGGTTTTTGTCGTGAAAATTTTTCAAATTAAAACGGGGGGTCCCAATGCACAAATGTGTGGATCTTTTTGGCATTAAAAGGGCTATTATTGATTTTAATTTATAAAAGGGGTTTTAAGTGTTTTTAAGGGGAAAACCCCAAATTATAAAAAAAGAAAAATTCCCCAAGGCAAAAAACCCCTTTGCCCAAAGCGGTTTATTTTAAAGTTATATAATATTGAAAAGAATTTTTTTATATAAGGGGAAAAATTTAACCTTTCTTTTGGCAAAATTTATTTTTAAAAATTGCCAATTGCTTTGATTTTGATTTTTTTTCTCCTTCTCTTAAAAACAGTTTTTAAAAAGGGTTTTAACTGGGATGCGTTGTTAAATGAAAAGGGAATATTGGACTGATTTATCAGGTGTTTTTAATTTTTTAGGAAAGCTTTTTTTGACTTTTAGGGGGAGGATCTTGTAATTTTTGCCCTCAACGTTAAAATTTTTTTGTAATGGACTCCCCAAGCTTTGAATTTAGAAGCTCTTTAAGTTAAAGGTTTTTCATTTATACCCTAACAACCCTTTCCGAGTTTGCCCAAAGGGCGCCCAAAGTTTTTTTCAACATTTGGTAATATGCAAGAAATTTTTGTCGCCACATGGAAATTTTTTTGCCATAATTTTTACAAAAACCAAAATTTATTTTGCGTTAAAGGGAAAAGGAGGGGTTTTATTTGTGTGAGGAGGGTTTTGTAACAAAATTTTTAAACCCTTTTTTGTTCTAGAGTGGTTTCCCCCTCTAAGGAAAAATTTATTCAAACTTAATGTTGCAATATTCTTCTAAGGGTCAGCAAAAATTAATTTTTTTTTATGTTTTTAAAATACAATGATAACTTTTGCCCTTATTTTAAAAATTAAATTCAGAAAGGGTCTTTGACTTAAATAATCTTTTGGGGAAAGTCTAACCACCAAAAAGCACGGGTAAATTTTGGCCCATTTTTTTTAAACCAAAGCACAAATGATTTTGGCAAACTTTTTCCCTTTTGGATACTTTTCTTACAAAGCACGGGTTTGGACTACTTTTTTTACAAAGCATTTAATTAAAAAAAAACGGATTTCTTTACCTTTAGGGTTGGGGGGTTTTTTTTTATTGAGTAATTTTTAATGTCTCTGTTTTCCGGGATTTTTTTCCCCTTCGGCGTGCCTACCATTAAAGTGAACCTTTTCGTATGAAATTTTTGGGTTTGGGTGGGCATTAAAGGGGGCTTTTTGTCTCCCACTTTGGGGGACGGCCATTAAATTTACCCTTGCCCACCCCTTTCTGCCGACGTTGTTCCATTTTGTGTTTGGTAGCTAAAAAATTTTTTTTAAAACCTAGGTCAGAAACTTAAAGGGTGGTTTTGGGGAAAATTTTTGGCCCCCATTTTGAGAAGGGGGCATATGTTTTCCCTTCCCTTTTCATTCACAGCCCGCTTTTGATCGTTCATTTTAACTGACTTTTAAAACAGCTGTTTGGGTTTGGGGGGGCCTCCCGGTTTTTCCAAAGGGACAAAAATTTTCATATTTTTTTAAAAGGGAATGCAAAAACCATTTGGGCCAAAATTTATAATACTGAAAAATGTTTTAAGGCTATATTTTAATGAGACTAGTTTCTGTTCTCATTAATTGCAAGGTATTTTTATTTGCATTGAGTTTTTAAAATATTAACTACTTTTCTTATTTTAATTTTTGGTTTTTTATAAAAAAAATCTTTTTTAAAGCTTAAAAATTAGGTTGGTATTTTTTTGGATTTTATTTTTGTTTTTTTTCTTGTTTTCATTTAAAAAAACCCTCGAATTTTTTTAAAAATAATAAAAGATTAACCTTTTGGACCTTTTGTTTTAAGGGATTTATTTTTTAAATTTAAAAGGGTTGCTCCCCCTGAGGATTAAAAACCCCCCCAATTTTTTTTTTGAAATTCTTACATAGATCAACTGGAATGCTTAAAAGGAAAAATTTGCAAAATAAAAAGAGGGTTTTCCTTTTTTTAATTTTAAAACTGGTAAAAAAGTGGGTTTGTGGTTTTTTTGCTTTTTAAAGTGTTTAATAATAAAAAAATGTTTTATCCGGGAAATCAGACCCAAAGTGATTGCCCTAAAACTTTGCAAAAATTTTTGGGTTTTAAGCCTGATAAAAGTTTTTTTTTTTTTTTTTTTTTTTTTTTTTTTTTTTTTTTTTTTTTTTTTTTTTTTTTATAAAAAAATCTAGAAAAAAAATTTTAATTTCAAAAAGTCCCATCTTTTCAGAAAATCCTCAGGGGATGAGTAGGGTTAGGGGCCCAATAACTTAGTACATTATATGGGAAGGGTAGTGCTTTAGAAGAAGGTAATATTATGACCCCATTTAATTGTGTAAAATTTTTTTTAAAAATATGCAAATAAATAGTCTCAAAGACATTTTAAAAAAGTGAGAAATGTCTAAAAATGCGAAAAATTTCAAGGGTGCAATTAATCAACGTAAAAGAAAATAAACAGGGGACGTAAATAAAGAAAGAGCCCATCTAGGGGTTGTTTTGCGAAAATTTTACACCAATTGTTTTAGGGAACATTTTTTTGGGGATTTCAGGGGCATTGATCTGTGAATGTGTGGTTAAGGTTCTGGACTTAAAAACCACTTGTTTCCCCCACCAGGGTGGTTTTGGGGGCCACAATAATCTCCCTAAGTGTCCTGTTAATCCCTTTAAAAAAGGGTGATGTCCGGTTTAATCCTTTTTAAAGGGGTATGTCTTTTTATGCCTGTAAAAGTGAGTGTCTTGTTGGGGTGCCTTTATAAAGTGAGTGTCTTGTTAGGTGCCTTTATAAAGTGAGTGTCCTGTTGAATGCCTGTATAAAGTGAGTGTCCTGTGGAATGCCTGTGTAAAGTGAATGTCCTGTTGAATGCCTGTATAAATTGAGTGTCCTGTTGAATGCCTGTTTATAAAGTGATTGTCCTGTTGAATGCCTTTATAAAGTGAGTGTCTTGTTGAATTCCTGTATAAAGTGATTGTCCCGTTGAATGCCTGTATAAAGTGAATGTTCATTATGAAGTAAGTGTCCTGGTTAATTAATACCAAGTGTACTCATTGAAATGTGTATATAAAGGGAAGTGTCCTTTTTATGTTTGGCTGATTGAATAAGAATAAAAGAAAAGAATCCATCTTATAGTTGAGCAAATCTTTTTTAGAGCAAGACATAACATGAGACTTCATAACATTTGTTTAACATCAAAATGACATGCATATTTGCATAGACAGTAATTTAGATATAGTTTCAGCTCTTCAAATTGTACCCGAGTAATACACTGTAGTATAATTGCAGATGTCACAGTCTTGTTTTTACTATACAAATGTAATTCGGAAACTTTATATTAGAGTTGTTGTTTTTAATTGAATATTACAAGATAACTTCTTTGGTTGCTCTTTATTAAACAATAATAAATTGTAGATAATTTATGACAATGATTTGTATTCTAGGTGAAGGAGGGTAAAGGTTCTTGCGTTGCACACATTCACTTCTGGCTCGGTAAAGAGACGTCTCAAGATGAGGCTGGGGTGGCGGCCTTTAAGTGCGTAGAATTAGACGATTGCCTCGGAGGGTTCCCTGTACAGCATCGCGAGGTTCAGGACAGTGAATCCAAACTATTTCTCTCCTACTTCAAGAATGGAATCATGTGAGTTAATAAAAGGATCTGACTTTGTTAACCTAGGACACCTTGATGGAGAAATTAAATGTTTTTTAGGTTTTTTAGTAAAAAAAATAATGAATAAACAAATATCACCATAGGTGCATGATAAATTGAAATTTAGGAACAAAATTACTCCTGGAAGTAAGTGATTTTTAACGACTTTCATACTTTGGACATAGTACCATTTTTGTGATAACTTTTTTTTCTTTCTGATGTATACATGGTGCAGTGGTTGTAATAAGGTTATTTATTTGATTGTGTTATTTATCTATCAAATATGGAAAATTTAAAGTTTAAAAGATTTAAAAATGGTGGTGTAAAATCCCGATTTAAACATGTTTAGGGAAAGACAAAACAAAATTTTCTTCAAACCCAAAAAAAAAACGCATGTTAGAGTGACTGAGGGATGTATATACTGTAGCCAAAAATGGCTGAAGGAATAGCTTTTGGGTGTACAAAACCCCAAATTTTTTCCTGTTTTCCCCCAAAATTTTAAAAAAGGTTTTAAATTTTTTTTTTTAATTCAAAATTTTTTGTATACAAAAACCAACCCTAGTTAAAAAAAACCAAAAAGCAAATTTAAATCTGCATAAAAGTTTTTGGGGTTACTGCCCCCCAGGGGAACCCGTTTATTTTTTCAAAAAAGGGTTTTTTTTTCCCCCTTTCCATTTGCAAAACTTTTCCGGGGTTTTGGAAAAGAAGGATCAAATGTAAAGTGCCAAATTGGCTGAAATATGGCAAAATGAGGGGATTTTTCCTTAATAGCATGGGTTTAAAATGCCATTTTAAACAAAAATGAGCCCAAAAGGGAAATTAAAAAAAAATCTTTAAAAAATTGGGTTTTATTTGTTAATGGGTTGTTATGTAAAGGGCCATTTTGGGGGGAAATACCCAAAGCAATTTACGGTTAAAAGGGAAAGGTTTATTACAGGGTTTAATTTTTATTTGGTTTTTTTTAAAAGGTTTGGTAAATTTCATGGCCCAAATTTTAAATTGTTTTGTCGGGTTTTTTGGGTTTTTTTTTTGGGGATGGGTTCCTTTGTAGGTTGCATTCTTATGGTTTTTTGTGGGGGTTAAAAATTCAAAAGGGTTCATTGTTAGGTTGTATGGGGGGTTGGGGTTCAAATTTGGGGGAAAATTGCTTATTCATGGTTTCAAAAATTTAAGGTTGTTTATTCAGGGCCCCATTGTAGGGTTTATATTCATTGGGGTTTTTTATAGGGGGTTTTTTAAAAAGGGCATGGGTCCCTTGGGAGGGTTTATTGCCATGGTCCATTAAGGGTTTAAATGGGCATGGTCTATTATAGGTTTATATGTCATGGGGCAATTCAGTTGGGAAATTTATAGCAACGGGTTTTATTGTCAAGGGTCTCCTTCAAAGTGGAGGGGTATTTCCCTGGGTTTACCTGGGGAATGGGTGTTTTTATGGAATTTTTAAAGAAGCCCGTTTGTACGAAATTTAAGGTAATTAAATTTTAAAAATTTTTTTTCTTATTCTTAACACAAATTTTTTCCCCCTGGGAAATTTTGAAAAATGAAAAAATTTTTTTGTTTAAAAATTTTTTTCAACAAAAAAAATTTAATTTGGAAAAATATAAAAGGTTAATTTCTTCTCGTATTTTTTGCAAATTGTGTTTTTTTTTAAATTTACAAATTTTTGGTTTTAAAGTCATTTGTTTTGGGGCCCGTTTTTTAATTTTTACAAAACTTTTTATAATTTTTTTTTTATTTTTTGGATATTTTCCAATTTTAAAAAAATAAATTGTTAATTGGCATGTGAATATCTCCTTTTATATTTGGGGATTTTTTTTTTGGACACCCTGGGTTTTTATTTTTTAAGGGGTTGGAAAAATTTGCAAGAAATTTTACAGGATAAGGCAAAGGGTTTTAAAAATTTTTTTGTTCCGGGCGAAGGGGGGAGGGAAAAAGAATGACCGCGATAGGAAAAATAAAAACCCAAATAAGGGACATGATAGAAACAAATTTTATAATTTCTTTTAATTTTAGACATTTTAATAATATTTTTTTTGGTCACAATTTAAAGGGTTTGGGTTTAACCTGTTTTTAAAACCCCTTGTTTTTTCCCCTTAAGAGATTTAAAGGTTTTAAAATTTAAATTTAAATTTAATACAACAAATTTTGATAATTTTACTTTAGACTGTTCAAAAAATATTTATTTTGGCACACTGGGTTTGTTTTTTATTAAGATAATATTTTAAAAACTCCTTTTAAAATAACCCTTTGCACTTAATTGGTTGGTTATAAACCCCTTTGCATTTTTTAATTTTTGGGGCCGGTTTTTGGGGGTTTATTTTGATTTTATTTTAGGTTTTTGTAGGAAACTTTTCAAATTTTTAGACACCCCTTTTGGGTCCATTTTTCCCGGGACCAAATTACTATTTCAGTGAATGTAAAATTTTGCTTCCCAAGGGAAACAACGGTTGCCTCTGCCATGTTTCCCAAATTGTAGGGTTTCAAAAACATTTGGAAAGTTTAGGGGAATTTCCCGGGCATATTTGGGCACATTTTAAGTTTTCATTTCCCAAGTTTTTTTAATGAAAAAAGGCCCTAAAACAAAAGAACAGTTTTTAATTGGGGAATTCAAATTTTTTTCTGTTTTCAAGATTGGGAGGTTTTACCTAAACCCCTTCAAAAGAAGATGGGGAAATCTGTAAATGGAAACGGGGCGATGAGAAAGGCTTTAAAAAAAAAGTGGCAAAAAAGATAAAAATTTTATCGTGGGAACCCCGAAGAAAAAGGCACTTTTAAAATAATTTAGAGGGAAATCTGGGCCCCTTTGAAAAGGGAGATTTTTTGAAATTTTTCTGTAAGTATAATACTTTTTTGGTAAATATATAAATTTTTTTAAAGGGGCCTTTTTTTCCCATATTTTTTAGGGTGCTGATTTTAAACCCCTTGAAAATCAATATCTTAAAATGGCCTGCCCCATTTTTTAAATTTTGGACTATTAACTGTTCATCATTTTTAGAGAAATGTTTGAAGTATGTACAGACCAAATAAAAAAAAAGCTTTTGAGAAATAAAATGATAGCATTTCTTGGGCACAGTGGACTTTTAAACAGACCAGGGCTGTGAACTCTCCGACAGAAAAGCTATTCTGATGGCTTAGGGAAAATCTGAGGTTTTTTTTCAAAGGTTTTGGTTCTTTTCAGAGTGCATTTGGGGGATTGGGAAAAAAATTTTTTTTTTTTTTTTTTAAAAAAGAAAAGTTGAAAGTGTTTATTATTTTAGGAAATCTTTCATCATAGATAATGGAAGAATGGTATTTGGGCCTGGATTTGGGAAAGGGTTTTAACCCAAAAAGGAGAAAAAGTAAGCCATAGGGCCCTTGGGAAAAATTCAAAATTTAAGTCATATCATGTATGTAAGAAAGTTTCCGTGCCTATAACCATGGCTCTGTCAGAGTTCTAGCAATACTTTTTTTACAGGGTTTTCATAAATAATAAGGCTGTATTCTAACAGCAATACTTTTTTTACATGGGTTTCATAAATAATAAGGCTGTATTCTAACAGCAATACCTTATTAACAGGGTTTTCATAAAAAATAAGGCTGTATTCTAACAGCAATACTTTTTACATGGGTTTCATAAATAATAAGACTGTATTCTAACAGCAATACCTATTTTACAGAGTTTCATAAATAATAAGGCTGTAATTTCTAACAGCAATACCTATTTTACAGGGTTTCATAAATAATAAGGCTGTATTCTAACAGCAATACCTATTTTACAGGGTTTCAAGAATAATAAGGCTGTATTTGAACAGCAATACCTTATTTACAGGGTTTTCATAAATAATAAGTCTGTATTCTAACAGCAATACCTATTTTACAGGGTTTCATAAATAATAAGGCTGTATTCTGACAGCAATACCTATTTTACAGGGTTTCAAGAATAATAAGGCTGTATTCGAACAGCAATACCTTATTTACAGGGTTTTCATAAATAATAAGTCTGTATTCTAACAGCAATACCTATTTTACAGGGTTTCATAAATAATAAGGCTGTATTCTAACAGCAATACCTATTTTACAGGGTTTCATAAATAATAAGGCTGTATTCTAACAGCAATACCTATTTTACAGGGTTTCAAAAATAATAAGGCTGTATTCTAACAGAAATACCTATTTTACAGGGTTTCAAAAATAATAAGGCTGTATTTGAACAGCAATACCTTATTTACAGGGTTTTCATAAATAATAAGGCTGTATTCTAACAGCAATACTTTTATTACATGGGTTTCATAAAAAATAAGGCTGTATTCTAACATCAATACCTATTTTACAGGGTTTCATAAATAATAAGGCTGTATTCTAACAGCAATACCTATTTTACCCAGGGTTACATAAAGAATTTTTAGCTTTTATCTTGGATATTATATTTCACAGGGCTTCATTAAGAAGAAGGCTTATCCAAACCATACCAAAGTGACAAGAGTTATTGAAGGAGGGGAACCATCAGACTTTAAATGTCTTTTCAAGTCCTGGCCAATGCCTGTAGCCACTGGAAAGGCCTATAACAACAATAAGATTGGTAAGTCTAATTTGCTTGCATGCTTGTAGTTAATTTCACATGATTAAAATGTCGGTACTATTGAGAACTGACCATAAAAATTTTGAAAACTGCATAATTTTACTGTTTATAATTTGTTTTTAAATAAATTTTCATGTAGAGATAAAGCTTTATACTGACTCATGAACCCAACAAGAAAATAAGTTTAAGTCGTTAAAGTCCAAACAGTTAAAATCAATATGGCGGGATATGTAACAGCTGCATGCCTCCAGATGAGCCATAATATTTCAAGAAAATTAAATCTTGGGAAATTGTATTTTAAGAATAGAAAAAGATTTCAAATTCAAGGGATTAAGGACTGATATGGCAGTATTCATTACCATATTTCTCCTGTGTTTAGAACTATTTTTGCTTGCAATGTGTAAGTTAATCTCTGTGTTCACTTCACAATATTTCAGTTTTAAATACATTTTTAAAATTTTCATGAAAATAAGCGTGAATCTGGAGTCATGCTGCTTTAAGATTGTTTGTTTGATTTAATTTTTAGCTAAGACTGTACAGACAAAGTTTGATGCCAGTACTTTACACAGTAACAGAGCTCTTGCAGCTGAGACCAGAATGGTTGATGACGGGTCAGGGAACGCTGAGGTAAGCCTTTCAGTTTAAGCTAAGTTGCCATGGCAAGAGAAATTTTTGCGATGAATTTGAACGCAACAGTCAAGTTTATAGTATTTAAACCTTGATTCAATTACTTTCAGCAGTAAAATCTGAATTCAGCTTTTTGTTCCAATAGAATGTTTGAAACACTTAAACCTGAATTCATTTGTTTGAAGCAATAAAATTTCGATTTAGTTCTTTATAACAGTAAAATCTGGATTGATACTTTATACCAATAAAAGCTGGATTCAAGTGTTTTAAGCAATAAGAATGTGATTTGATAGTTAAAAGCAGTGAAAACAGTCTTCAGCTGTTTATAATAATATACACTAGAACTTAGGTAAGTCTAAGTTGAAGGGACTTGTCAAGAAACTTCAACACATCGGGACTTCGACTCATGAATTGGTTTCAATTTAATGACAAAATTTTGAACATTCAACATTTACAAGCAAGTTTAAAAAGGTGTAACGAAAGAAAAGGTTGATTATCCCGTATGATTATCTCTCGACACCAGGTCGCTTACTCATTATCATACTATATATTTTCAAATACAACTTCTGAAATTTGGATCCGAAACAATTGGAGCATTTTATCACATGTGTGAACATATACAAGGGCTGTTTATAACAATAAAATCGAAATTCAACAGTTTATATCATTCATGTTCACATCAGTTATAGCCGAATTAAACAGGGGGAGTGTGATCCAATTATTCTTTACAAATAAACAAAAGCTGAACTTTTACGATATAATTATACAGGTACATGAAATTTTTAATTATTCTGTGTATAACATATATTTCAGATATGGCGTGTGGTTGACTTTGATCTGAAGCCCGTCTTGAAACAGGACATTGGTATGTTCTATGGTGGAGACTGCTACGTTATTTTATACACTTACCAAGTGAATGGTAGAGAACATTATATCGTATATTACTGGCAGGTAAGATATAGAGGATGTTTGTTTGTTCTGATCAGTGTGATCACTGTGTTTGTTTTGAGCAGTGTGAGATCAAAATATATTTCACTGTGTTTGTTTCAATCAATGTGTTTGTTTCGATCAATGTGAGATCAAAATATATTTCACTGTGTTTGTTTCAATCAGTGTGAGATCAAAATATATTTCACTGTGTTTGTTTCAATCAATGTGTTTGTTTCGATCAATGTGAGATCAAAATATATTTCACTGTGTTTGTTTCAATTAGTGTGAGATCAAAATATATTTCACTGTGTTTGTTTCAATCAATGTGTGTGTTTCAATCAGTGTGAGATCAAAATATATTTCACTGTGTGTGTTTCAATCAGTGTGAGATCAAAATATATTTCACTGTGTGTGTTTCAATCAGTGTGAAATCAAAATATATTTCACTGTCAGAGTAAACACCAAATCAGCAACATGTTGGGACATTTGTGTCCTATGGACACATTTCTAGTTTATAGTTTGTATATCAATCAAATTCTAATTTATGTATATGCTATTTGGATGATTTTAACTGATTTACTAGGGATCAATGGTTTGATCCTCAGGCAGTGCTAAATTTCTGTGCAACAATTGATCACGGACATTGAGTCTAATGGTCATTTATCTCTCACTGCTGATTTAGATATCATGTGGGAAAATTTAGTAGTCGATCACTTACAAGGCAACAAAAAAATGTGTTCAAATTGGCACAAAAAACAAGCAACATTGCATGTTTACAATAAATCATGCATGTTAATGATTCTGTTAACTTAAAATGAGACTCATCAAGCATGTTATCACACAGCAAGGAAATTTCATTTCTAAATATAATTTATACACAATAATAACATTTATTTAGGCCATAAGGATAATTATTAATATCCAAACCGCCTATATGTCTGAAATACTGTTGGGAAAAGGCGTAAAATGAACAAACAAACAAACAAAAACTAATGGTCAAACATATTTTATTAAAGGGTCTGCAAGCATCACAAGATGAGAAGGGAACTTCAGCTTTGAAGGCCGTAGAAATTGATGACAAGCTAGGGGGAGCAGCTGTACAGGTAAAAGAATAAAAACATTTTGGGGAGCTGAAATACCCAATAATGTCCATTCTTTTTCTTGACATTAAAGGAGCTCAACAGAGGTTCAAAGGGCTAAAAATAATTTTAAGATTTTAAAATTTTATATTCTTATAAATATCAACAGGGGCATATTAAAAAAACAGCAATTAGGAAATTTGCTCAGAATTAAATTAAAAATGAATATAAGAATTTTTCTTTTTCTAGCTCAATTTCAGTTAAAAACGTTAAAACGTTTTTCATTTCTGGGTCATTATGCTAAATGAAAATGAGTATTATGAATAAAAATAAGGTGAGGGTATAATCTGAAATTTTGCATACAGGTTATTAGTTCAGGCTTGCATGAAAATGTATACAAAATCTTAATAAAAAATATTTCTAGTCCCGTCTTGTTCAAATACCTCAAGTGCATTATTACATGATAAAAATTATGCACAGCATAAAAATTAAATGCCTACACATCATATGATGTGATATGGTTATAAAACTTAACCAAATGGCCACTCAGTGTAGTTCAACATATGACTTGTCTCTAAATTATAAACAATACAAATTGATAACACACATTCTGCAGGTACAGGACTCAATGAAACATCATGTTTACTATAACAAATTTTTATTCAATGTTTTCAGGTCAGAGTTGTAATGAACAAAGAACCACAACATTTTACTGCAATGTTTGACGGCAAAATGATCATATTCTCTGTAAGTACAAGTTTGTTATTTCATGCAAATGCTGGCATTGATAAATATAAAGAAAAAAAAATATGCATATGTTACATGATTTTATATTCAGCAATAAAGCTGGAAAGTCTCCGTTTGAGATAAATATACCTTTCAAGCTTGCAGGAAATATGGATCTGTCAAAAAATAAATAAATTTGTATAAATTTAAACTTATCAATGCAAATATGACCAGGAACAAGGAAAATATTTGCCAATTTGGAGCTTGGTTTCAGTTGTTACATATTACTCCATGTATGATTTACTGTTGGTGGTATTCACTTAAAACATATTCAAATAATTGTCTACAGGATGATATATGGAGATCACTAATCAAGATCCATAACTCTTGCATCCAATTTGAATGAAAAAGTCCCCCTTTTTAAAGTTCTACATTATTTAAGCTCTTGTTAGCTTGTCAGTTTTGAAGTCAATCTATTATACTCTTTGCGGTGTCATTGTCATTGTCATAGTGCAAAAGCTTTAATGTAGCCCATTATTCAAACATCTTAAATGTTACCAACATGAAGTTTGGAATACTTGCTAATCACGACAAGGTGCAGTTGCTAGACAAGGAGCATAATTCTGAAAGCAATATTTTTGGAGTGATGCCCCTTTTTAACTTTGAATTTTTAACAGACGAGCATTGACACCACATGCAGTGCTCTTCTTTTACTATTTAATTCTATAAAAAGTTGAATTAGCAGTCTTTCTGGCAGCTTTTATATTTTTTGACACTATATTTACAGGGAGGTCATTGTGGTTGGACTGGAGGACCTTCTAGCGATGGTCCAGGGGACTCTTACATGCTGCAAGTACGTGGGACCAATATCTACAACACAAAGGCATTACAAGTACCTATGGAGGCGGCATCACTCAACTCTAATGATGTGTTTGTGATTTTTACAAAGAAATGTACATTCATCTGGTGTGGAAAGGTAAATATGATTATTTTCTCCTGAACCTTCTAAGTTTCTTAAATGGACTTTTCCAGGTTCCATTTTAGAAACTGTTCATTAACAATATAGGGGATGTCAAGTTAAGAATTAAAAGTATGTCAGCCAACAGTATAGAGCATGGTCAGATCGTTTTTATTAAATGGCTTTATTATACACCTGCACCGTGGATTATGTGATAATTGACTTTACTAAAAGTTTTCATGAATCATTCTTCAATGAGAGCAGCTTAACATTTCACAATTTAACATTTCATCATTATTTTTATCAACAGGGAAGTACAGGAGATGAAAGGCAGGCTGCCAAAAATGTAGCTGCAAGATCACCCAGGTATCAAATATTTCATTAACCTTTACCTAATTTAAAATATCTTACAATTTTCAGGACAGCTTACTCAATATGTGTCATGAACACTTTCAGAAATGCTAAATTTTTAAAGGCCCATAATGCCTGAAAAGCTTTTTATTTTCTGCGTGCTTTTACAGTATCCAAAAAGTAACTCATTGTCCAATTACCTGAACCATCTTTTTCTTCTATCTCTTTGAGGCAATTAGTACAATTATAGTGATTTAGTATTTTTAAAGTACTGACTCTAATTTATTGTTGGTTCTTTCATGACATACTGGTGATGTTTAAAGGCAATCGTTGTCAACTTCATTGTCCATGTCCGAGCATTAAAATTAAAAAAGGGTCACATAATAAACTTAATGAATATTAACATGATTGGAAGTATTATTTCTGTATCATTATGTTTAGTTTTTCTTCAATTTTCGTCTTCAGAGAGGCGACCATTGTGATTGAAGGTCAAGAAAAAGCAGCATTCTGGGAAGCTATCGGAGGTCAGGCCGAGTACTTGAGTGATAAAAGACTACAACAGGAGGAATCTGAGCATCCCCCACGTCTGTTCCAAATCTCAAACGCGTCTGGTAGTTTCACATGCGAGGAGATACCGGAATTTGTTCAGCAGGATTTATGTACAGATGATTGCATGATGTTGGATCTGTGGGACGATATTTATATCTGGGTCGGTGCAAACGCACGCGACGATGAGAAGAAGGAGGCTGAAAGATTAGCTATGGTAATAAAAGTTTTTATATGTAATAGCTATTATTAAACTCACAAGTTTGCTGCTGAAGTCTTAGAAAATCACAGAAGGATGCCAAAAGTCTTCGTCCATTATTAAAGCCTCTATTTTTATAATGTTGCCTAATCACCTGTACAAAGTCATTGTGACATGAAAACCAACAAAACAAACAAATCATCAGTTTGTGGTGAACTGAATTATGATCACTTTTACATCAAAGCTTTGGATTAAGGAATGCTGAATTTTATATACAATTATTTAGCCAAGCAGTTAGCCATATGGCCCAGTCCTTTATGTCTCTAAATTCTTATCACTTGCAACAGTAATTTTAAACCTTGACAGGGGGGGGGGGTCCATGGCTGAGTGCATAAGGTCATTTACTTCAAACCACTTGACAGTGTCTTTGGATTCTGTATGTGAGAAAGCTATCAAGCTTGTTTATGGGATGTCAGTGGTTCTACTCATATGTCTGTTTGTGCCTGAAATAATTTTATGCACAGAAGCACACCTGAGGTCTTCCTCCACCAGTAAAGCTGGAAAGTCACCAAACGACCTATACTGTGTTGGTACAACAACCCAACTAAAACAAGAAAGAACCTTGACAGAATTTTTTCTTATGAGTAAGCTATTCAGCCACGTTGCAGAAAGGTCAGTCATGCTGCACTATTGCCTGGTAGTGCTTCGGATAATACATAAAATTGTATCTTTAGACTTTTTCAAGCATTAAAACCCGGCAGGTTTCAATGTGACTATAACAGTGTTTGTTGTGTCTTAAGACTTTAAAAAAAAAGAAAATTGTTCCCTGTTGTAAGTATTTAGAACTGTTCATTATCAATTTTGGGGATATGAAATACAAGTTTTGAGTAAGTTAGCCAACAATATAGAGCCTGGTGACAAAGTCTGATCATTTTTGGTTTTAGCAGGGTATACCTATAAATGTCTTCGTTTAGTATTTTGTTTTCAGTACTTAAATATATTATAGTCAGCAAAATATAATATTTATTTTTGTGTGTAATTTTTACAATGCTTTTTTTCAGGAATACCTAAATTCTGACCCGGCTGATCGAGACCAAGAAACACCAATCTATAGAATAAGACAAGGCTGTGAACCTCCAACGTTCACTGGATTCTTCGGTGTCTGGGACGATGATTTCTTTAAAGTGAGTTTTTTCATTTGTTAGTTTATTGTGTTCATTAGACAATAAAGTTTACAACATCCTAAGAGTAAGCCAGCTTGTTTTGGCCCTATGTGACAGAAAGTAAGGCATATTGGCCTTGAATGTAATTAGTGAGAGGCCATTCTGTACTGAAGTTCTTTCTTCAATGTTATTAAGAATATAGGTCATTGTAATTTAATCATGTATGCTTTTAGCTTTATTGAATGTTTACAAAGCATCGTAGCAGTAAACACGTGCAATTGCACATGGAGTTATTTGTTTTTTATGTGATATATTAATTAGGCATTTTTCTTGGCAATCACCTTCCTTCGGTGATTAGAAAAATGCATTACCTTACGGTACTGGTAACTTGTATATACCATATACCATACAGTGGCCCAACAATTATAAGAAACTGATCAGCACAATACTGTTGTACCCTTTGGTCAGACTGTATTCAATAATACATTTTATTAAAAAGTATAAATGACAATTGGTGTTTTAATATTTGCAGAATTCTCAAGATTACAAGGAACTTGGTCAACAACTTGCTTCAAATAATGATGCTGTTGTCCTTGTGCAAGAGGTAAGTTTATTAAAACTGTGGGTTGGTTCATGGTTAAGAAGGGTTGGTTCATGGTCAAGAAATTATGGTTTTCTTAGAACCATGTGCCAAACCATGGGCTGTTTCATGGTAAAAAAGTTATGGTCATTGGAATCATGTGCTGGTTCATGATAAAAAAAGTTATGGTCCTTTACTTAGAATCATGTGCCTGTTCAAAGTCAAGAAGTTATGGTCTTTTACTTTGAACCATGTGGCTGTTCATGGTCAGGGAGTTATGGTCCTTCACTTATATCCATGTGGCTGTTCATGTTCAGGAAGTTATGGTCCTTTACTTATAACCATGTGCTGGTTTATAGTCAAGAAGATATGGTCCTGTAATTAGGACAATTTGGATCTTCCTGTACCAGAAAAAAAACGGGGGGAGTTTTTGTTGGTTACATATTGATGTTCTTATAGTATATTATGACTTACATATTATTATTATATAATTACCGGTATGTACCTAATCAACACAAACTAAGGAAGGTATGATGTGCAGGACACTACACTCAGAGATAATTAATATTAAACTAGCAATATTAACTTCTGATCTTGAAATTTGTCATAATTTATCATTATGCTATTCATAGTTAGTGGATTTTATGTAGAAAGTGTTTCTGATTGTTTTCATCAGCTAACAAAGTTAGATGCATTGATAGCAGTAAGTGATAGACATTGTAAATGCACGGTAGTTATTTAATATGCAAGCTCCTCCCAGTCCCACCTCCTGCCAGATAAACAATTATTGGCTCCACCCATATTTTACATTCCAAAGTGTTATAGAAGTCTAGAAATTCTATAGTTGTCAAATCATAGTTTTCGTGGATAATGAAAGTTTGATGATTTTAAATTATATACATCTTCATCATTATAGAGTTGTACATGTATATCATTACGTAATAATTTGCATTTGTACCCACCCATTTAGTTATCCTTCAATCTATTTATGCATCCATGAGTTTAAAATCCTGTACTACAATACTTATCTACCTTTGTATAATATTTTTAGATATGACCAGTTATATGTTTGTGATGCATATATAATTGTGGCCCTTTCTTTTTCCACATCATTTAATCTTTATGGAGTTATTTCCCTTTATTATATCCTTATTCATGAATAGTCCAAGAAATTTAAAACAGAAGGGGAAAAGAGTTAAATAAAGAAATTTGTTGTCCAACAAGCTCAATGTTAATTAGAATATCAATGTACACAGTACATCAGCTTGGTCACTTTATTCTCAAACACTTTTCACCACAATATTTCATTCTTTAAGTTTACTCACTTTAATAAGTTATGCTGGAATTGCATAATAATGCCACTACAATATTTCATTCTTTAAGTTTTCTCACTTTAATAAGTTATGCTGGAATTGCATAATAATGCCACTGCAATATTTCATTCTTTCTGATTACTCACTTTTATTAAGTTATGCTGGAATTGCATTATAATGTAACAATCATGTAACGATGTCATGTGTGCTTCACATTTTATGTTGTCACAGAAATCTTGTGAGAAAGTAACACGTTGATTTTATTGCAGAGAATAAAAAAAAACCCCAGATATTGGCATAATAATATATTTAACATAAAAATGTAGTACAATCATCATAATAATCATCACTAATGCAGATTTACAATTATATTTTTAAGCCTTAGACTTGCAGCTATAAAGGGTGCCTGATAGTTTTGTTTGAAGAGAGAAGAGTGTTTGCTTTGTTAAATTCATTTTGCATTTAAAGGCGCACCACTGAGTCCTAAATGCATAAAAGCAAACAAATTTCAAATTCTTACCTGGATGAACTGAAACTACTTTTATCATTACTTAAGGACTTATATTGATACATCTATGAACTTATGCTATAATTAGGTTGTATAAGGCAAATGACGTCACTTTGCATAGTTATTACGATAGAGTAATATCGGTTTTTTTTTTATTAAATGCCTTTATTACACTCCTACCTTTGGGTTTATGTGATGAAAAAAAATTTAAAAAAATTTTTTAATGTTGTGAGATATATGTTTTATAGAGCATGGATGCCAATGGTGGTGTTAACTTTGACGAGATGAGCAAATATCCCCTGGCCGAGTTGCAGGTGAATACTGAGGATTTACCAAGTGGTGTTGATCCAAAATGTAAAGAGGTAAGGAACATTAATTTATTTATTTCCTTTTCAAATCTTAAGTTATTTTTGTTTAAGCTGGATTACGACACAAATTTTGTCAATTTAAGTCGTGATTGCGACAAAAAGCTTATTGCATGTTCGGAATTTCTAGCGAGCTTCCTGGAACTAACCAGTACTACTGTAGACAACACAAGGAAACACAGTTGTGAGTCCGTATTAAGGCTTAAATACACCCCTCTAAATTTTATTAAGGTAACAATTTCTGTACCAAAAACATTGACAATGACAATTTATTTATTGAAACTAAAACAGCAAAGTGTAATATTTAAAGATTGCAGTTTTGTGATTTTGATATTTCTTTATTTTAGCAATTTTTGTTCTAAAATTGTTTAAATTTCAAGATTTTAATTTTACTATGATTAAATGCTAAAACCTTCCCCATTCACCCGCCAAAATTCACTCTTAGATATCTAATTCATCTATTTACACCCATATATGTATACGATAATTAAAGGGAAAAAAATATTAGAATCGGCGAAAAAAAGTGATATTTTTCTATTTTCTGATCATGATTTCTGCAAGCGTCTTGAGGAGTATACTGCTCCAACACTGTACATAATGAGTTAAATCCAAAACTATAATTCCACATTGTAAAATTTGTATCTGTTTGTGCTTGCAGATGTTCTTAACAGCAGATGACTTTATGAAGACATTCAACATGACCTATACTGAGTTCTTAGGAAAACCTTTGTGGAAACAACAGGCAATGAAAAAAGCGGCAAAACTATTCTGAGTTGCTATGGCTACTTGACAGATTATTTTATAGTGTATATATTTAGAATATTGAAATCATGTATAATAAATTATTACATGGGTAAACTTTAGTATAAATGATATTTTTAAACAAGAATGGACTGGATATCAGTTATCTTTTTATCTGTTTTTGAAAGTTTTTTCAGAAGCAATAGTTTAAGTGTAAAATAAAATCCTTCTTTAGGATTGATTGTTAAATTTTCTTCGTAGAGGAGTAAAATTGATGTAATTTTTAAGTGGCAAGGGAGTTAAGTAGTACTAAGAACAATTGTTCAAAGGGAAACAACTCCTCCCTGGATCATAGCAAGTGTTTTTTTGTCTCAATTGATGGGCCTAATAAGTATAAATGTATTTTATTTGATCTCTTTTAAAGTGAAAAAAAGAAAGACTGTAAAGGAGGAAAATTGAAAGTTTCTGATGTTAAAAAAGCTTGGAACTGTGAATTCCATTCATTTTCTTGAGTTGTATACCGGTATTATTAAAGATCAATCCATAGATAATTACCTCTACAGAAACATTGTCATAACTGACTAAATTTATAATAGAAATTAAACACATCTCTCACTGCCATAGCATAATGATCACATGACCTCTTTTTTAATCAGTCCTTATCCATTCCAGTGATCTAATCACATGACGTTTTGTCAACCAATTGAAATATATCTCAATGATCACATGACTTCTTGTAACTTATCCTTTTTTAATACAATGGTCTCATGACCTTATTAACCTATCACAGGCTATTTCTGTGATCACATGACCTTGTGTCAACCAATCATAGCTGGCTTTACTGAACCATATCAATGCTGTACTGTGATTTAATATTTTACATTCCAAACATAAACTTATATACAGTTTTAAAGTAGGTTTTGAAATTTTCAAATTTGATTTTTGGTATGACTTTTTAAATTTTTGACCTTGTTAAGTTCTAAATTTCTTTTTAAAATGTAATTTGCCCCAATATTATAATTTCACTACAATCTCCAGAAGTATTAGTGAAATAAATAGTGATTTTTTTGTGGTCAAAACCTATTCAGATTATTTTATAAAAGGTTAAGGGCATTGTAGAAATGACCGTGCCCACTCGTGCCAAAACCAATGATCAAAGTGGCACCTGATGTCTTCCTAAACTTGAAAAATTAATGTGAAATAATGTAGATAAATCCATGGTGTGTAAGTTGGATCAGTGTGAATATTTCAAACTCTACTACCAATATATTTAATATGATCTTATAAATACTGATCTTTATGATATTTATATATATACAAAATATATATTGTCTAGGTCATTATATAAATTGCCATCTCATTTATAGACTTATCTTTAACAAATCTAGTAAAGTTTTATAAAGGTAACCGGGAACCTGAACTCATTCAGTATCCATGTGAATATACATTAAATTTTATGGATATGAAATTATGTGGTTTTGATAAAAAAGGACATTTTCGTGGGTTCTTTAATTCATGGGATGTCTGTTTGTGCAAAAAAAATTGAAAAGCAAATAATTTAATATAAGTAATCGTACAGCAGACAAAATAATTTTTTTGTTGAATGTTAAATTCATTGATTGACTGACCCATCCATGAAAACCAGTGCCCCATGAATAATGATTTCACGGTAATGGTGTACACACACAATGTTTCTATAAGTTTTCATATGATGATCAGTAAAAAAAGGTTAGTGCCTCGGTTTCCAGCTCATTATTATGTGTTATGTGTTAGAAAAAAATATTTACAAGCTTTATTATTATAAATACCTAGTATAATAATTATGTTTCTTAACTTTTTTGTTTTGAAATTTGTTATTTTTTTATATAATGGTTATGGATTTTTTTTTAAAGTTATATATATTAATCTCTGTTGCTGGTTGTGAGAAAGTTTATATACATATGCATGTACATTTTCAATTTTTTTTTAAAGGGGGCATCTACCCTTATTCCATAAAAAGGGCCAATATTTCCCTTTTCATAATTATTCACAATCGCTTTTTTTTGTAATTATTTCTATTATTCAAACCTAGTTTGTTAGTTAAAGTAGTTATTATAGAATAGTGCTGCTTTTTTGTCTTATAGATTTTATGTTTTGTATACAAGCACTTAGATCTGATATTAAATGTAATGTTTAAATGTTTATTTTTATATGGATAGTGTTTGTTGTTTTTCTGTGTTAAGGTGTAAGGCGAGAAATTGGCATCCTTGTAATAGAAATTTTATTATAGGGAAAAGTGAGAAATGAATACATTTTAGTGGTAATTTTGATGCCTTTGTAATGAATTTTTCCACTTCTGACAGTAATATTCAGTAAATTCCTTTAATATATTCAAGGCCAAATTATTGTCTTACATCTATACGTTTAGTTTCTATGTCACTGTATTTTCTAAAAATAAAATATGGTGTTGTTATTGTTAAACTTAGAATTTTATAAGTAACACATAATTATATAGTCACACAAGTTAAAATATATAGACAGGTTGACAGTTTATTAAAATGTCATTTTAATTGAAAGAAAATATTTAATTACAGAATTTATATTTGATAGCAAAAGGTATAAGTCCTTAAGTTGTGTTTTGAAATTTCTTATTTTGTTAAGTATCTGTATAATGAAAAGTGTTATTATTGAAAATATATCATAAAATTTATATGAAGATCATTGTTTGTTATATTTGTAAAATTGAAATTATTTTATCTTATTTATGTATAAATTATACAGTTGCTACAAATATGTCAACATATTCATTTTGTTATCACAGTTCAGTGAGAGAATTTTCAGTTTAATGTGAAATTGTAACTTGTATGAAAATCATATTAAACCTTAATGCTCCATATTCAAATAAATAACAGTTTTAGATACTGGAAGTGTATAGGCATATCTTATATATGTGGATAATCCATCATTATTAATTCACTGCTAAAATAAGTTAATAATACACTTTATGATATTAATGCTGATACAGGCTTTCAGCAATTTGGCATAAAATTTTAAAAAACCTAAACAAAATATCCTTACAATTCAATTCAGAAAATTAAGTTAAAAATATTGTGGTTTGTCAGTAAAACTTTTATATTCTAACACTAAAACTGGAAAAAAAGTCTAAAAAGAATCTAGTACGAGAGAGGTTGTTTTGTTTTGTATTCCATGAGCAAGTGATGAAGATATCCCAGAAAAATGTGCTAATATTTACATAGACCTTTAGTTCTTACATGTATTTTTTACAAAAAAGAAGCAATACTTGTACAGTTAGATACTTAATTTGTAGTTGGGTTCGTTGTGGTATTGATATATTAACAAAACAAAAAATTGAACCATTCCAAAAAAAATTAGTGATAGTTTGTTTATACAAAGGCATGGGGCAAGCTCACTGCTTGTGTGTATTTTTACTAGATAGATTTAGATAGGTAAATGTTGAGTTTTCCCTCACATTGTATTTTAATGTTTGCTGCAATTATCTATATTTGGGGTCAAAAGCCTTGTAAATTAATAAAAATGAATACCAGTCAACAGATGTGTCTCTGCCATTGGTCGATTCAAAATTTTGAAATTGAATTGGCCAATCAGATGCTTGCATTGTGGACTGGTGTCAGTATTCTAGACACTAAATTTAAATAACCTAGATTTATAGGGCCACATCCTTATTGATCAGTTACCATAGTAAACTTAATTAATATAAGCAAATAATACTTCTGTTGTTAAAACGAGACTGTAGGATTATTTTCATTTAGGAAAAAGTCCAGAACAAAACCACCAGACCATTATTATGTTACTATTACTTGAATATATAAGATGGAGGTCTGGAATTCATCATAAATTTCTTTCCATATTCTTCATATCATTATTTTGCTTCTTGTACACACTATAAATGTACTAACTGTATTTGCCAGTTGATATTTTGTTGAACATGTTATACTCTATAATTTGCTCAAATAAGTCTAGGTATATTTAACATGTTATCACATACCCGTGCCGCTTTTACATCTCTGTAAAAATGGTGGATAGCACGGCTATGCATATATTTTGATGTGAGGCAATGTGCGAAATACGAACATAGCCTAAAGACGCGCTTAATATAAGGGTTATACTATAATACATGTATAATATTGTAAATGAAAATATTCTACTCTAAAACCTTTTTCATTTTGATTTTTTAAAAAATATTTTTCTGGAATAATTAAAGTATCAAATATGAACAATTATCGTTTAATTAATTTATATTGAAAGTCAAACAGTACTTGCGCCATATACCAGTACTTGTTTCGTCTTACTGGTGCCTTTGTCAATAAAACTATTGCATCAGATCAACCTGTCTATAAAAACCACACATTTAATAACCAAGGGCAAGTATATATACAGTTCTATATCATCAGATAGTCTTATTCAAAGGTTTTTATTAAATGGTTTCTCTTAAGATGTGGTCTTTGATCCGAGTTTGCCTAGTATTTCAATGAATTAGAAATCAAATCTGTTTTATTGTTGGAAGCATGGTTTGTTTTCAAAATATTTCTTCTTTTTTGTTGTTGATATGTTGAATTGTTTTACATGCAATAAAATAATAAAAAACAACAACATTGATTTTGTATGCAAAAATACAAACATCTTTAATGTTATGTAACTTTTAAGGCACTTTCCAAAATATTTGTTTTTTTCCATACATTAAGCTTGTTTTGTACCTCCTTTGTTTCTCTATGTTATTATTTGGAATATATTTGTTTTTATTAACCCTTTATGTGTAACCTACAGTGTATCTATTTGCAAACTTTTAAAGCTGTGATGTATTTAAAATAATATTTGTCTCAAATATAACAACTTCTGCGTAAATCTGTAAACACAACTCCCCCGTCTCCCCCGTAACACACTCGTAGTACACTAACACTTTTGTATGTAAGACATGTGAATTCTTACATTCTTCATATATTGACAATGTTTTGTTGAGTAATTGATTATACCCTCTACAATTTCTTTATGACATATGGATAGGTTATATATTAACCTTAAATATCATTAGGTACAAGAACTTACTATTTCTACTGTATTTCTTTAAAAGTACATGCATTCCTTTTCCTCGATGGCAAACTTTTACCAAGTTCTGTTTACTTGACTTTTTTTGTCTTTTGTTAAATATAATTATGAAATCTTTTATATCACTGATCAAAATACAATTTCATTTAGGACGTGTTTTTAATATATAATTGTTTTTAAAAAAAAAGAGATAAAAGGCTATAAATTATCATAGTTTTTATTAATTCTATTTTTAGATATAACAAGCATAATAACAAAATCATTACATTTTACTATGTGTGTTATAACAAATGATGTTCATATTTTGTTTACTTTAAATGATCTATATTCTTGATCTAAATTTCTCAACCATATTGACCTAGATTTACAACCATGTTGACCTAGATTTACAAGTGTTGTCCTAGATTCTAGATTAGGTCTTCAATAATATTGATCTAGATTCTCAACCATTTTGACCTAGAATTTTCAACCATTTTGACCTAGATTTTCAACCATTTTGACCTAGATTCTCAATCATTTTGACCTAGATTTTCAACCATTTTGACCTAGATTCTCAGTTGTGTTGTCCGGTTTTTCATGCTCTTACATTGTTATAAACTTGTCACATACATGTAACACCTTGGCAATAATAAATTTATATATAACAGGCTTATATGTTGTGTTTTCTTTTGTTATTGAAACAGTAATGCAATATGACCACTGCAAATTTGCCACATTGATAACAAATCTAGTGTTTCTTTTTAGTTATGTAACATAGGAAGACTGATAAAAGCTGTAAATTTAAGACAAGGTTTCTAAACTATGTTAATTTTATCTTGGTAAGTAAAATGTCAAGACTAGTAAACATAATGATTGGTAACATGCCTGTCATGTATTACTCTCTAATTGGTAACATTTCTAAGTAATTATTATTGAGTTATTATGATTGGTAACTTGCCTGTGTGGTATTATGTAAGACTGGTAACATATTTGACTGGTAACAATAGTAAAATTAATGTCATTATTGAGTTATTATGATTGGTAACTTGCCTGTGTGGTATTATGTAAGACTGGTAACATTTGACTGGTAACAATAGTAAAATTAATGTCATTATTGAGTTATTATGATTGGTAACTTGCCTGTGTGGTATTATGTAAGACTGGTAACATATTTGACTGGTAACAATAGTAAAATTAATGTCATTATTGAGTTATTATGATTGGTAACTTGCCTGTGTGGTATTATGTAAGACTGGTAACATTTGACTGGTAACAATAGTTAAATTAATGTCATTATTGAGTTATTATGATTGGTAACTTGCCTGTGTGGTATTATGTAAGACTGGTAACATATTTGACTGGTAACAATAGTTAATGTCATTATTGAGTTATTATGATTGGTAACTTGCCTGTGTGGTATTATGTAAGACTGGTAACATATTTGACTGGTAACAATAGTAAAATTAATGTCATTATTGAGTTATTATGATTGGTAACTTGTCTGTGTGGTATAATGTAAGACTGGTAACATTTGACTGGTGACAATAGTAAAATTAATGTCATTATTGAGTTATTATGATTGGTAACTTGTCTGTGTGGTATAATGTAAGACTGGTAACATTTGACTGGTGACAATAGTAAAATTAATGTCATTATTGAGTTATTATGATTGGTAACTTGTCTGTGTGGTATAATGTAAGACTGGTAACATTTGACTGGTAACAATAGTTAAATTAATGTCATTATTGAGTTATTATGATTGGTAACTTGCCTGTGTGGTATTATGTAAGACTGGTAACATATTTGACTGGTAACAATAGTTAAATTAATGTCATTATTGAGTTATTATGATTGGTAACTTGCCTGTGTGGTATTATGTAAGACTGGTAACATATTTGACTGGTAACAATAGTTAATGTCATTATTGAGTTATTATGATTGGTAACTTGCCTGTGTGGTATTATGTAAGACTGGTAACATATTTGACTGGTAACAATAGTAAAATTAATGTCATTATTGAGTTATTATGATTGGTAACTTGCCTGTGTGGTATTATGTAAGACTGGTAACATTTGACTGGTAACAATAGTTAATGTCATTATTGAGTTATTATGATTGGTAACTTGCCTGTGTGGTATTATGTAAGACTGGTAACATATTTGACTGGTAACAATAGTTAAATTAATGTCATTATTGAGTTATTATGATTGGTAACTTGCCTGTGTGGTATTATGTAAGACTGGTAACATATTTGACTGGTAACAATAGTTAAATTAATGTCATTATTGAGTTATTATGATTAGTAACTTGCCTGTGTGGTATTATGTAAGACTGGTAACATTTGACTGGTAACAATAGTTAAATTAATGTCATTATTGAGTTATTATGATTGGTAACTTGCCTGTGTGGTATTATGTAAGACTGGTAACATTTGACTGGTAACAATAGTTAAATTAATGTCATTATTGAGTTATTATGATTGGTAACTTGCCTGTGTGGTATTATGTAAGACTGGTAACATTTGACTGGTAACAATAGTTAAATTAATGTCATTATTGAGTTATTTATGATTGGTAACTTGCCTGTGTGGTATTATGTAAGACTGGTAACATATTTGACTGGTAACAATAGTTAAATTAATGTCATTATTGAGTTATTTATGATTGGTAACTTGCCTGTGTGGTATTATGTAAGACTGGTAACATATTTGACTGGTAACAATAGTAAAATTAATGTCATTATTGAGTTATTATGATTGGTAACTTGCCTGTGTGGTATTATGTAAGACTGGTAACATTTGACTGGTAACAATAGTAAAATTAATGTCATTATTGAGTTATTATGATTGGTATCTTGCCTGTGTGGTATTATGTAAGACTGGTAACATTTGACTGGTAACAATAGTTAAATTAATGTCATTATTGAGTTATTATGATTGGTAACTTGCCTGTGTGGTATTATGTAAGACTGGTAACATTTGACTGGTAACAATAGTAAAATTAATGTCATTATTGAGTTATTATGATTGGTAACTTGCCTGTGTGGTATTATGTAAGACTGGTAACATATTTGACTGGTAACAATAGTTAAATTAATGTCATTATTGAGTTATTATGATTGGTAACTTGCCTGTGTGGTATTATGTAAGACTGGTAACATATTTGACTGGTAACAATAGTTAAATTAATGTCATTATTGAGTTATTATGATTGGTAACTTGCCTGTGTGGTATTATGTAAGACTGGTAACATTTGACTGGTAACAATAGTTAAATTAATGTCATTATTGAGTTATTATGATTGGTAACTTGCCTGTGTGGTATTATGTAAGACTGGTAACATATTTGACTGGTAACAATAGTTAAATTAATGTCATTATTGAGTTATTATGATTGGTAACTTGCCTGTGTGGTATTATGTAAGACTGGTAACATATTTGACTGGTAACAATAGTAAAATTAATGTCATTATTGAGTTATGATGATTGGTAACTTGCCTGTGTGGTATTATGTAAGACTGGTAACATTTGACTGGTAACAATAGTAAAATTAATGTCATTATTGAGTTATTATGATTGGTAACTTGCCTGTGTGGTATTATGTAAGACTGGTAACATATTTGACTGGTAACAATAGTTAAATTAATGTCATTATTGAGTTATTATGATTGGTAACTTGCCTGTGTGGTATTATGTAAGACTGGAAACATATTTGACTGGTAACAATAGTTAAATTAATGTCATTATTGAGTTATTATGATTGGTAACTTGCCTGTGTGGTATTATGTAAGACTGGTAACATATTTGACTGGTAACAATAGTTAAATTAATGTCAAATACCAATGTGGTAACATTTGCAGCTGGTAATATTAATGAGAGGTTATATAAACTGCTGGTAACATGTCCTAGTTTTAATTTGCCTACTTGGTAACATAAGACAAATATTATGACTGACTGGTAACATAACTGTCATAAATCTATGTCTTGTCTTGCTATATACACATTGTCTAGGGTAAAATTCTGGTTGAAAATTATTAACCAAAAATATATCAAACTAATAATATCTACAATAGGTAACATAATTATGTGGCAATATTAACATTATTTGACTGGAAAATGACAAAATACGCTATATATAGCTAAATATACTAATATATATGCTAAACTGCTGATAAGCTTGGTAAATACGGGCAAATCTGTGAACAAAATGTACCCAATGGAAAGACTATGCATGGCCTTTAAAGTTTACATTTTTTTTTTAATCAACAACTGATTGTCAAACAGATTCCAATAACACGGGTTTGACTGTAATACATGTTTTAATGTGAAGAGTTAAATTGTTAACAATTTATAATATATCTTGAATGGCTAAATATTTATTTCACAACAAATGCACCATTAATAACAGTATCTTTCACAGGGACTTCCATTCCACTCTTGTGGAATTTACAATGCCATACTGTATATACATGTAGTACACTTGGTGCTTTCTTGACTTTAGCAAATTATGTTCCTGAAACCCTCCCCTCCAAAAATGTATGATAAAGAACTTAACAAATCCAGCTTGTACATGATGTAAAAATAACTTTTGTCTGCTTTCTTGCAATGGCTTGTTCATCAATATATTAATGTTGTCTTTAACATTTCAATGCATGCGATACCCTAACCAAAAACCATCCCCCTTCCCTTCACACACGCATCACCCCCCTCCCCAAACTCCTCCCCCCCCCCCCCTAACGAACTCTGGTTTTAAAATCATGTGTATACTTCCGAACTTTCAACATCATAATTTCTTTTTTTTGCCTATGTTGTTGTAAAATGTTCTGATATTGTACTCGCACCCAAACATCCCTCCCTGCCCCCCCCCCCCCCCCCCCCCCCCCCCCCCCCCCCAATCACACAAACTTCAGTAAAATTTAGTGATTTAGTGTATACTTCCGAACATCACAGATTCATGGGTTCATATGTTCTTGTTTTTGTCTGTTGTGTAAATGTTCTGATATTGTACTCGTAGGATTTTCTTTAAAAGACGGATGTTTTATCACTTGATGAAATACCGATATATCCTCCATCCTGAAACAACAACAACAAAAAGTCAAGCTAAAAATAAATGTTAATAATAGAAGTTCATTGCATGTAAGTAATAAACATACTGGGTTTTAATCAATGAAGTAAAATCCATTTCACTTACAGTATGATAAAGCTTTGCCAAATTTTTTGTTGGCTTGCATATTAATTTTTATGATTCCGTAATCAACAACATCTGTTGTCTCAAATAAAAATGAAAACCCTGGTAATTTGTTAATGTACATAAAATCAATTGTCAAGTTTCGTTCTTTATTTTTCTAACTTGAATTACTTATTTGAACAATATTCTCATAGTTGTTGAACGTTTGTTATCATATTCGTTTCACACATCAGTTGTCACCTTAGTGCAGTAATGGAATAAGTTCTTCTAAATTTAGTAGAAGTTTATCAGTTATTGCACTAAGGTGACAATTTATTCGGTTTCCCGCACTTCATATTAGGGCATAGAATAAAGTTTCGTTTTCAAAAATATGCCATTTACTGTATATCACATCAAAATTAGAAAGTCACTTTTCAAATATTTGTCACCTATTACCAAAAAAGAAATGTTCTTTTCAACTGTTGAGCTTAAAATGCCTACATGCATGTATGTCCATGTATATGATAAATAGATCAAAACTAACACAATTTATCCAAACATGTTTTGCTTATATAAGCTTCATCAGTTGATATATAACAAAGGAAATGACGTAAACATATCAAACAGACGTCTACGTAAAAAGACGCCACATTTGGCTCCTAAAAGGAACATTATAATAATTAGTGTAATAAAATAAATTCTTTACTGTTTAATACAGTAAATTATGTGCATGTGTTATATATAGACGTAATTGCATATAGACGTACATGCATGTATGAAACTTACATTTGTTTCTTTCGCTTTTTCTCCTTTTGTATGCCTTTGGGTTTCTTTGGCTCATTGCTGTAACAAATAAATGGCCAATCAATACTTCTCTTTATATAAACATATTTGCGTTCAATTGTTACATAATCTAGGTCCCCCAAGTTAACATTTATCTTTAAAAATGTGAAAATTTTTTAAACCACCTATGTTTCCGGGTTCCCCTATAGTTTTAAAAAAATTTTAAGGTTTAAATGTTAAAGAAATGCTTGAAAAAGTTTCCAAAACAGGGGCCCAAGAACTGTAAAGAAAACCCCAACGTTAATTTTTGTTTCCTTGGGCCCTTCAAAATCGGGAAAAAAAGTGACCCCTGGGGAAAGCATTTTTTCAAAAAAATTTTATGAAAATTGGAAAAAATGGGTTTGATTGAGTTGAAATGGGGGAAAATGAAAAAGTGAACATCCTAACCCCCCTAGTGTAGACCGGCTTTGGCGGTATTCAATTCTAAAAGCCACTTAAAAATTTATATGGTCTATAGCCCCTTTCCAGCTTGACTGGTGTAAGAATACCTGTGTGCCCCCTCCTGCATTATTTCAGACATAAAGCCGGCACTGAGTAAAGCCACTGACCTTCTGTAAGGTAGAAGGATATAGCCATCAGATGCCATACCTGCCCATTAAATGTATCAATTCATTCCCTAGATGAGAAGCAGAAACCCTAAAGATTTGACAACTACCATACCAAAAGCATAAAAAATCCAGTGTTACCATATGCCCAAAATTTGTTATTCCATCAATCCTAGGGTCAAGACTATGGCGACAGAAATGTTAATTACAGTCAAATTTTACATAAAGCATGCAAAGTATCAAATGAATTGGATTGTGAAAAATATATTCAACTAATAAATTTTTCAATGAATTTTTTTTTGGAATTTTTTGTTTTATTGAAAAAAATTGATCACAGTTGTATATAACAGAAACACTTGTAGATCAAATGATTAAACTTTGCCACCATTACAGGGCTAGGCCTGTTGGCACATCAGTGCAGTCTGACCAGGCTCTAGTCTGTTGGAAGCTATTTTTTTAAAAAAATATTTTGTTACTTAATGCTCTTAAACTTCAAATTGACTGTTCTAGATTCAAAGCAAGGTCAATGCATTACACATATTTAACAGGGGTATACCTTTGTGATGGTTTTGTTGAGGTTTTTAACAGGAGTTCTAGTGTAGGGAGTGCGTCCCCTAGTGCCCCTATATCACCTACAACAGCAGTCTGCTCTCTTTTCTTCTTATTCTTGGCATCCTTTTTTGCCGAATCTATTGCACTCAGTTCTAAAATATATTGCAATCAGATCTTAAATATACTGCACTTGATTGCACTCAGTTATTTGATATATTGCACTCAGCTCTAAACTACATTGTATATTGCACTTAGTTCATCAATATATTGCACTCATTTCTAAAACTGCACTCAGTTCAAATAAAGCAACTAGTTCTAAAATTTAGTTTATTTAGTTTAGTAAAAAATTTGACCAGTGAATGTTTTCAGATTTTACAAAACTTCATGATTTTAAAGAAAATTTTGATAGGGAAGAGGCCTTTAATAGACCTCTGTTTTATAAGGTGAAAAATCACTCAGTCAAGTATATTTTGTATTGTAAGAATTACAATGTACTTACTCTTCAGCCAAAGCTCATGTCTCAGTTTTTGTCTATCTTTCTTCTTCAACTTCAATTCCTTCAGGGACTTTGATGTTATAGCACTCTGGGTATCAAACTCAGGTAGCTGGGCTTTCAGGTTGTACTTGGACAAGTCCAGTCCGTCAAATATATTAGACTGTGCTAGTTGGGGTGCCTCTAATGATGACAAATTCTAAAAAAAGATATAAATACAATGTATATATAAATGTGTGATAAATAAAATCAAATCATTTTCTTTATGCAGTGGTTGGTTATTTTAAGGCTACTTTCAAACGACTTTTTTAAATGCATCAAGTAATTTATAGCTATCCCATTACGATAAATATCCCATGGATGTCAGTTAAGATTCTTAATAATCAAATTCAATTTGATTTTGTCAAACTAACATCACAAAGTAGTGACACTCAACTGCATAACAGGCTTGCATTTTTAATGTTTTATTTTTACACTGCTTCTTTTTGCATGCACAATTCACCTACAAAACAATTTTTTTATGAAAATAACCCAATTACAATACACCATATGAAGTTGTGAACTACATTTAAGCAGAACATGATGAAACTTAATGCATACACATATTTATCAGTTTTGATAGATGATATGGCCTTATATAAACAAAATACAATAATTTATAACAATAAATGGATAAGAAACAAGAACAGTATTGGTCATAATAGCCAAGTGGTTATGGTTAATATCTTTAAATCACTTGCCCTTCACTGATGAAAGTTCAAATCCCAGATAGGACTTTGATTTCTGAAATGTGGTGATGCTATCCAATTACATTGTATCTCATGAAAGATCCTTGGTTCTTCTCTGGTGCCTGCTCTGACCCTCATAGATAGCAAAAACAGACACCAGTGATTTTTTTCTCACTTAATTGGGAACAGGCCTTAGCCTCTTGATTCTTGATGAACCAAGCTGAAAAGTTGACGCAAGATCTTTGTAGCCCGAGGCACCTAAACCTAAAGCACAGTAAGTTGTCAATGCCCTGTTTATAAAGGTTTATTACTTAGTTGTCAAAGCCCTGTTTATAAAGGTTAAGCATTTAGTTGTCAATGCCCTGTTAATAAAGGTTTATTGGTTAGTTGTCAATGCCCTGTTTATAAAGGTTTATCGGTTAGTTGTCAATGCCCTGTTTATAAAGGTTTATTGGTTAGTCGCCAATGCCCTGTTTATAAAGGTTTATTGGTTAGTTGCCAATGCCCTATTTATAAAGGTTTATCAGTTAGTTGTCAATGCCCTGTTTATAAAGCAGTGTTTTTTTTCTTTATATAACTACTACCCTAAAACGGTACCATTCCCAATAGAAAATAGACATTAAAATTTCCAATTTCCAATGTTAAATTCCCAAAATGACTGTTCAAAATGCCCACAAGGCAAAGTTTTTATTCTAAAATCATTAAAATCCAACATATTCATATAAATCACCACTCAATAGTTCTATCTAGACAGTGGAAGCTGTTAGCTATCTTTATTCATGATGTCTAATCTCATTTGTAGCTGAAAAAATGCATTAAAAAAATTCCCAATTTTAGTCAAAATAACGCATTTTTTCCCAATCAGTCTGGTACCGGCACCATTCCCAAAGTAGAGAAAAAAAACGCTGTAAAGGTTAAACAGTTAGTTGTCAATGCCTTGTTAATAAAGGTTTATTGGTTAGTTGTCAATGCCCTGTTAATAAAGGTTTATCGGTTAGTTGCCAATGCCCTGTTTATAAAGGTTTATCGGTTAGTTGCCAATGCCCTGTTTATAAAGGTTAAACAGTTAGTTGTCAATGCCCTTTTTATAAAGGTTTATCAGTTAGTTGGCAATGCCCTGTTTATAAAGTTTATAGGTTAGTTGTCAATGCCCTTTTTATAAAGTTTATAGGTTAGTTGTCAATGCCCTTTTTATAAAGGTTTATCAGTTAGTTGTCAATGCCCTGTTTATAAAGGTTTATCGGTTAGTTGTCAATGCCCTGTTTATAAAGGTTTATCGGTTAGTTGTCAATGCCCTGTTTATAAAGGTTTATCAGTTAGTTGTCAATGCCCTGTTTATAAAGGTTTATCGGTTAGTTGTCAATGCCCTGTTTATAAAGGTTTATCGATTACATTGAAAAAATTCAAACCTGTTCCAGTTCCATCTCGTCAGTATCATCTTGTTTAGCGGAGTTACCTCCCACTTCCTTCACTTTCACAGCAGAGTTGTGTGCCTTTTGCCTAGCTCTTCGTACTTTTCCCATTCTACAATGTACAATGTAATGAAATGTCATAGGGCAAGAAATTTTTCATCTACACAGGGAATTAAATGAAGACAAATGTTATTTACTTTAGGATGGAAGTTTGACACATTACATAGACAATTTTTTACCAGCTTGACAAAAATATGCAAACCAATTTCTTGTTCATTTAAGTTGTGAATAGCAATAGTTAGATATTTTGCAACCCTTTAAAGTTTTGTCAGACATTAGTAAATACTGTATGTGTCTATATAGGAGTCAAATAAATATCTGATCAAAACAAGACAGCATGCTCGACTATTCTCAGTGTTTGATAGTAAAACAAAAGCCTGGATGTTGAATTTCTAAATTCACAAAGGGCCATATTTCAGTAAAAATTTTTGTTATGGTTCTGGGGCTTGTATAGTGACATCTAGCCTGGGTTCCAGTCTGTCAATTTTTTATGTGCTCTTGTTCGGCAAATTGACAGCCTGGGGAAATACGATTTTCAATCGAAGCACCACCTAGTATTCACCCCGAAAATTACGGGTGTTATTTAAAGAACGATAACTCATGCAACCACAAACTAGTTTCTAAAAATAGAAAAACAGAATTTCTACAAAGTGACCCGAAGCTCAACGAACAATTACGAGCCTCGCTTTCAAAACAACATTTCTGATTAAAAACTAACACTCCTTGACAAACTATATTGCATGATGAGTGAATTTGATCAACAATTTTGAAGTTAGTTAAATTGGATAAAGTTTGTGCGCATCAGAGAATTGTGCTGGACCCAATGGCGTCAAATTTTCAACATTCATCATCTTTGCCTCGATTTTGACTTAGTCATGTAATTTGTTGGTCATGTGCTAATCGGTCTATTAATAGGATTATCATTAGTTGATAATTACATGGAAAACCCCAAAGGTTTCCCCAGGCGTTGATACTATCAAAACCCGAGATGTTAGTTATCTATGATGATGGAGAATGAAATAGCACATATGTTAATTATGAATAAGTAAAAAATATCAACGCCTGAATCCCAGGCTAAGTGACATCCTATAATACTCTCATATAAGTGTGTGAAGTTTCAAACCATTCCCTTCAGCAGTTATGCAGAAACCAATTTGCATGTATAAAACATAATACGGGGAAGTAAAAGTCCGAGTCCGCGAAGCGGGCCCGGGCTTTGGCTTGCCCGGCTATAGACTACACGTGTATATTTAAAAGAAAATTCAAATAAAAAACAATTAAAAAATATATAGAATTCTATACCTATCAATGAAATTTTTCAGTGTCAGTTCTAGTTATGCGCCGCCATTTACAATGTAATTCAACGATAAAAGTCGGTGTATTCCGATAACGGAACAAATCTCAACTTTTCGGATTAATAAGGTCGAGTGTTCCGAGTGAAAACAGAAGTGGGTACATATAATACCGAATGACACATTTAAAACGGAAAAATGAAAGAATTTTTTACCGACTTCCCCGTTCATAGGCTTTGCCTAATTTCATATTATTAGTCTGTTTTAGTTCAGTTTTGATTATTTTTTCTACAGAATAAATATTTTTCCAAGTTTTTGATATTGCGTTTGAAAATTTAATATTGGCACAAGAGTGTGATTCAAACATTAATTGTGTGCCTCTCGCACTCGAGAGGTATGGCTAAGTGCTATATTTAAATCTTCTTAGCAAATAAGCACTTCAGCAATTGGCAAATAAGGAAGTTAGCATGTCCCTACAGGCATACCATAATTTCACTTTAATTTAAAGAAAGGCCAAAAACATAGAGTTCGTTATTACACTTTATCAGGTGAATTCACCAGAGTTATGTACAGAATGTACCGGAAAACGGCGTTTAAAAGCAAAAGGTTTCGAACTTTTTTTGAAAAATTTTTGGTTCGTTTAAAAAAAATTTATAAAATAGACAAGTTAAAAATTACTGCTATAAAACTAAAAAGTTTTTAAAAAAAAAAAATAAAAAAAATTCCCACTTAAAAAATTAACAAAATTTGTAAAAATAGAGGTTTTTCTCGGAAATAATTTAGATATATCGTTTTCAACATTGGGCGTTTGCCTTTTTGGGTTTTGGAATTTAATTCCTTTTTTAACAGCAGGGCCCCGTAAAATTCCGTAATAATTTTGGGGCTGCGAAAAAAATTAACACAAATTTTTCTTAAATTTTTTTCCTGGTGTTGCGTCTTTGGGTTCTGAAAACAAAAAGTAAATGAGCTTTACTACTTTTTTTATTTTTAAACTATACTAAAAATAAGACATGTTTTTAACTTGGGCCATTTGTCCTGATGGTGGGTATCAACTTTCTGGGAAAAACCCTCTCTATTATAAAGCTGCTGTACGCACCTAGGGTATCATGTTACAGTATAACTCATCATGCTACATCTGGGATAACATTTTAAGTCCCAGATCTTACAGACAATGTATAGATTTCCTGCACTAACTAAATAATGCCAGGCCAATCTCGCATATCTGCATCTGTCACGAAAACAGTAACACTGAATTGTGGATTCTTGGTATAGGCAACTTATACTGAATCATATTGTGATTTAATGCATCAGTTACACTGAATTGTCATCCCTTATAGGCCACTTATACTGAATTGTGGATCACATTGCACTGCCACACTATTGATTTACAACCCATATGATAATGCTATAGGGGTATACACAAAAAAATGCAGTTTTTCAAGATATATCATAACAAAACTACATGGCAAACTTTAAATATTTTTAATTTCAAAAGAAAAAAATAACAGCAACTTGTTATTTACAGCTATTACAATAAACATACAAAACAAACATAAAAATGCACATGTACATTGTTCTGAACAAGTTGAACAGCTTATAAATAAACACATAAACTTGCTGCTTGCTATTTCATGCATAGCATTTTGCTTACTATTTCCTGTGTTTCATTTTGCTTGCTATTTCATGTGTTCCAATTTGCTTGCTATTTCAAGTATTCCTTTTGCTTGCCATTATAAGTTTTTCATTTTGCTTACAATTTTCAATATTTCATTTTTCTTGCCTTTGAATGTATTTTATTTTGATTACAATTTCATTTGTTACAATTTAGTTTTTCAAAATTGCAATTTCATCAATTTTAATTTACTGGGTGGCTATGTCATGTAATTCCAGATACTAAACTTTTCTGGCATTCTATTTTTTGATATTACATGTGTTTTGCTTGCTAATTCATAACATATCAATTCACTGACTATGGTATACTTAACTTATTTCACACATACATTTTGTATCATGACTAGCTCTTTTTTATATATTGCTTGCAAATATCCTGCTGCCATAGTTACAAAAGTTTAATGTTTAACTCTGATGTAAAAATCATTCAAGTACACACACTATTAAGGAGCCCACTGCAGTCCAAAAGCCTAAAAACAAACATTTTTTTTATATTCTAACATAGATTAACTAGGGTACTTGAAACCCAAAATTATGACAATAAAGAAATATACCTCAAATTTAATTAAAAATCTTTTTTTTGTGCAATTCGTAGCCAGATTTGTGTTGAAAAGATTTTTGTTTTGTTGGTCATTATTAAATTTTTGAAATAAAAAAATGATAATTCTAAAAACAAAGTGAGGGAATGTTCTTGAATTCTACAGTCAAATTATTGGCCCATGAATACATCTAATATGCACATATCTTAAACAAATTTCTAGTCCCACCATGTTAAAATGCCCAAACTGTTTCATATTGCTTTCTATATCATGTTGCTTGAAAATCGTATTCTTTAAAATACTGAAATTAAAAAAAAAACAAGAATGTCGAACAACACATATACCCCCCTTTCAAGCAATTGACTCACATAATTGGTAATTTTATTACAGAAACTTGCCAAAAATGGGTACATGGAAGTGTTCAATTATGGAAAAATCAACAGAAACCATTTTGAAATTTAAGGCCCATGTGACATTGACCTTTGACCTAATGACCCCTAAATCATTAGAGGGTCATTTACTACTTATGACCCAATAACTAGGTGAAATATGAAGGGGACTTTTGTGATGAATTACTTTTCAAGATAATCAGCTTGAACCCCTTTTTTGACATTTAAGGCCCCTGTGACCTTGACCTTTGACCTAGTGACCCCAAAATAAATAGGTGTCATCTACTAGTTAATTGACCAATCACTATGTGAAAATATGAAGACTTTGTGATAAAAAAACTTTTCAAGATAATCAGCGGAAACCATTTTGACATTTTTAAGGTCCCTGTGACCTTGACCTTTGACCTAGTGACCCCAAAATCAATAGGGGTCATCTGCTAGTTTGATGACCAATCACTATGTGAAATATGAAGACTTTGTGATACATACTTTTCAAGATAATCAGCGGAAACCATTTTTTAACATTTAAGGTCCCTGTGACCTTGACCTTTGACCTAGTGACCCCAAAATCAATAGGGGTCATCTACTAGTTTATGACCATCACTATGTGAAATATGAAGACTTTGTGATAAATACTTTTCAAGATAATCAGCGGAAACCATGTGGTCTACCGACGGACAGACCGACGGACCGACGGACAGACAGACAGACCGACATTAGCAAAACAATATACCCCCTCTTCTTCGAAGGAGGGCATAACAATTTTTTCCATTAAATTCAGAACAAATCATTGACAAATCCGTAACAAGCAAAACATATCTAACACTCCTAGAAAAATTAAAAGTAAATTCAAAATAAGGAAAACATGAACAATCTTAAAATCTTAAGGAATACATACACCTCAATTGTCAAAACAAGCAACTCAACTAAAGGTTACCTAAAAGATTTGGTGTGAAATGGTTGTAACTTGTCAAGAAGAGATACACACATTTTGCACCAAGACTTAGACATGTTTTGTATGAATACACATATATTTTTATCTTTCAGTAAACACTTCACATAAAAATATATAAATTCAGTTTACTTTATATAAGCACCTCAGTAAATGCTTTGAGCTTTCAATAAAGAAAAAACCCACAGTGGCCACATGGTCCAGAAATGCAAATACTGGCCTAATTTCAAACAACACTCCTCTCTCAATTTTCAATTTCACAAAAGCCTTATCAACTAGTAAGAACCCCATGAAACAGAAAAACATTATGCTTGATTTAAGAGACATTTTAAATTATAAGATTGGGAGTTGTCTATTTCATTTTTTACACCATATCTTTTTCTTGTTATATTAAAAACTTGATATCAAGAAGAGCTTCACATACTGTATTTAATTTCAAACAAAACTAAAATCATCAAATGAATGGGGAAAAAAATTAAAGACAAAAAAACCAATCATAAAATTATTACAAACCATAGAGTAAAACTGCTTTCCTAAAATGATATGAGATAAAGAAGTTAAAATTTATAATAAACTGTATTTAAAATAATAATGCTGCAGGAAAAAAAGTCATGAAAATAAGAGGCCAAAGTGGGCTTTTATCGCTCACATTAAATTAATTAAATGCAAAAGTAATGCAGTGGCAATGTAACCTCACTAACATGCTTTGTACAAATTAAAAGCTAGAAACAGCAGAAGATAGACCTATAAAACACTGACATGTATTACTTAAGTAGTAAAGTAGTGTTAAATGAACAAACTTTTCTAACTATAAAATATAACTATTTTCATTCTATTCAGATCTGTCTGCCATAATTATGTCATTTACCAAAAAAAACACCCGCCCTCAAAGTGTTCAAAATGAACCTCTACTCTATATCTATAACACAATATATGAAATAACTTAAAATAACATCAGATGAACAAATAGTTCTTAAGTTATCCAACAAAATTCATACCATACACACATGTTATTATGAACATATTATATTAACCTCAAATTCTTATATTAACTTAAGACTTAGACTAAGAATGTCCTGAGCAAATTGGCAAAATAAAAAAGATTAGTGCAGAAACAGGTTAACTTCTATTAAATTCATTAGGAGTTAGCCCATTTCTGCACTAAAATGACAAAATACCTAAGAATATGATTTGAAGTAACAGATTATGTTTGTTTATTCATTTATTATAATTATTGTCACCTACTCACCATAGTGCTGTAAAAGATTAACTCCTAATAAATTATGTAAGGAGTAAACCCATTACTGTTTTAAGGTGGCGAAAATTCAAATTTTAATTATCATGGAATTTATGACCAAAAAAAAGCAAAATCAAACTTTTTTAACAAAATGAATAAAAAAAAAAAATTAAAATAAACCTTAGCCCACTGGTGGCAACTGAATACACCCATGCAACTAGTGCAGACAAAGATCAGCCGGCTGTGCACTGTTCCCTATTCAGTAAGCTATTTAGTATTTATTTTTCAAAAATCCCTAAAAAAATAAATAATATTTTTGTCCAAATTGAATGATAAACATAACTATTCACCCTTTTTGGTGTAATATCTAATTAAGTATTGACTATATGGAAGACAGAGTAGACAATGATCAGGCCTCAAGGATGTGCAGACTGCTCTTGGTCTGCACTGCTCACATGGTTAGTATTTGTTGCTGTCAGCGGGGTAAAAGTTAATAATCTTGAAATACAGGTATGAGACAAGGAGGCACTATTTCTTTCCTAAATCTTTCTCTTTGTATGTTGAATCTATTCCCACTGCCAGAGTTGTAAAACTGTTACTTAAGTATTTATCATTTTAATCTGGGGATTTTTAAGTAATACAGGGAATTTACTGTAAAACAGAATTGAAACAACATAAATATTTTTTTACCTTTACCACATATAAAATATATGAATCTATACTTTCATGGAAGAATATGAAAAAATTAAGATGAACAAAAATTTGTGACCAAAAAATGCCCAAACCCACAATCCCCCCCACCCCCATGAAATACTAGACTGCATATCCAGACGACATGTATACGTTGCATGAACATGAATGGTGTTATGATGTCATTGGCATAGGTATATCCCTCTTTCAGGCAGTAAATGGGTTAAATCTATCAACATTATAAAAGGGTATAATTTCCGACTAGATATAAAAATTCCATTTACTAGTGTAAGAAGGGGAGGTAATAATTGTCCTACATCATAACTATATACAATAATGTAAGATTTTAGTTATTTAAAACAAGTCACTGGTGTGTGTTAGGAAAGTATTCCCTGTCTGATGTTATTACAATAACCAATTATTCAAAATAATGAAAAAAATATAAATACAGAACACTTAACCAGTTCCAACAACAAACATTTTAACTGTACATAGAGAACAGACAGAAAGACAGACAGACAAAATATATTTTTATGGCATCACCTTAATAATTTAGTAAGAAAAAAATATACACTTGAAAGAATGGAATTTTGAACACAAATAATATCATGGAATGACTCGTACTTATTAAGAGTATTTCACAGTACTTTACTGTCATCGTCAACGTCAAGCCCAAAACTATTTGTTTCTGCCAACAGTTTTGATGAAATCTTCTTAACTTATTCAACTCTTTATTCGTTAACCTGCTTCAGCAAAAAGTTATTAGCCTTTGCCATCAGTATAGAGCCTGTACAACCTGAACATCTGTGTAGTCTGACCTGGCTCTTTACTGAATAATTGTGTAGTCTGACCTGGCTCTATATAGCATGATAGTGCAGTCTGACCTGACTATATACTGCATAATTATGTAGTCTGACCAATCCATTTTAATTTTAAGGAACTTCAAAGTCAAAATGCAGAAACCGGTTATTTAGCCATGTGCACTACAAGAATTATATTGTATACAAATTTTACTCACACTTAGTGGCTTATACAACCATTTATAATGAACAATATAACCTGTCAAATTTTCTTTTACTTCTCATATTGTCACCTGAGGGCAGTAACAGTAATTAGTTATTAAAATAGTTTACCTATTACTGCACTAGTGTGCATAATTAATAATATGGTGAATGTCAGCAAGACACAAACAGACTTTGGGCCCAGATTCCTGGAAAAATTTAATATATACATGTAAACCTAATATACACTTTTTTGTCTCAAAGAAGAATCATTCTTCAATAGGCTACCATATTTGTTTTCTTATCAAACTATTTACATTCATCTTTTTTACAGTATTTCTTAATGTATTTTCAATAATATTACATATTTTTGTTGAATCTTAAACAAAGCACCTTGCTAACAATTTTAAGTATTCTCTCTATAAATAATTGTTGGTATGCAAAAGTTAACTTTGGTACATTACTATTATATTAACTCGCGTATAAGACTGACCCCTTTTAAGTCGGGGGTGTTAATTTCACATTGATAGAGTAATTATAGTAATTACCTTTAACATACATTGTTAAATGTGAAGTAGTTATTTGACCTTGTATTGAAAAATAACATCTAAATTTCATTTAATAATTTTGTATCTATTGGAACATAATATGTAAAATTTATTTAACAGTATTTCATCTGTTGAAAAATACATATACATCTAAAATTTATATTACATTTTTTTTTCTTTTATGGAAAATAACATCTAAATTTCATTAAACAGTTTTTCATCTATTGGAATATAAAATCTAAAATTGTTTTAACACTATTAACATCGATTGGAAAAATATATTTAAAATCAATAAAACATTTTTTTTTCTAAGATCTAAGGTAAAATCTAAAATTTATTTCACATTTTTTTATGAAGCATTAGAAATATTTCAGCCAACACTCCTCCAAATTCATTTCAACTTTTACTTAAAGAAATAATAAAAGAATTTCAAAGAACAAGAATATTCAAAAGTTCACAAATAGATTAATTAAAACTAAAATAACACATCAGCAATCCATATAAATGGCTTAAAATAAGTCAACATATGCAAAAATAGTCCTTTTTCTTCCAGTTATAGGGTAAAAAAATACCCTAAAAAAATTCAACCATATTTGGCATATCATTTGAAGCAAGCCATACAAGGATTGGAAAAGGATTGGAAATAGTTAGCTATTTCTTACATTATTGAAAAAAAACCTTTTTTTAAAAAAACTTGTTTGCCCCTCTAGATGTGGAGGCATGCAGTTTGAAAAAAAGAAAGAATTTTTTTTTAAAAGAAATGAAAACCTGTCAATGATTTTTAAAGAATTTTTCAAAAATAATGTAAAGACTGAAGATATGAAAGTATTAAAGTCTTGGAGTGTTTCCTTCTGAACACACAAATTATATAACAATGAATTCATAATTTTTGTATCTCATCAAACATTTTACATATCATCTACAAAGGCGAATCTTTATAAGACTTGTATTTTTTACCCTTTGTACAATACTTAAAAGAAAAGGCTTCTTTGCTATTTATGTTCAATTCCAACAATAAAACAAAAATAAAACTTTAAACATAAAATATTAAAAGAAAAAAAAAAGATTTTCATACAAAAATTTCTCTTAAAAATTTTAAGATACTTTTCAACATTGAAAAATAAGTAAAAACATCTATAACTGTTTAAAACTGTAAAACAACATATTGTATTATATGTTCAGTATTTAAAATTTGAATTCATCATGTTACAGATTTAAAGGTTTCCCTTTTCTTTAATGATATAACATCAAATATTTCATAACATTTTTACAATTTCTAGGAAAAAATGATACATTTGTGACCAAATTTAGAGATCAGTCTAAGAGACAACATCTGCCATTGGTCAGTTTCAAATAAAAGAACAAGATTCAACCAATCAGGTTCAGTTATATAGCAGACTGGCCTACAATTGTGATTATTTTGTCATTGCCCTATAAAATTTTACACAGCAAACCAGCCAAAATCTCCTGCACTAAAACAGGAACATGTATATAAATCCATAACCAGGCTTAAACAACTGGATCTTTCAGTAAGAAAAAGACCAATGGCTTACCAGTATCAATAGACAATCTATAATTCAATTGTTTTTTCCAAATTAATTACCCTGAAAACTGGAGTTTCACCCCTTTTGATATTTATTCATTATACCGGTATATAAAAACAAACTATGACATTACAATTTTTTTTCAATGAAGAACAACCCTGTGAGCAAACGTTGTCGGTACCCTTATGTCCCCCTCCTGCCCTTGAAGCTGTGTGAAGTTAACATACAACTAGACACTATAAATAGTCATCAACTCAATGATCAGCTGTCTGCAATCACATGACTAGGTTCAATATTCTCTGTTAATTCTTCCTTAATTTCTATATCTGAAAAAAACTGAAAAGAAAAAGGAACATAAAGTAATTATAATTTTATTTCACAACAAATAAAGATTTTATAGATTTATTAAATTATGACTAGAAATCAAAGGATTGCTGACTGTGCAGATTCAAACCCCAAAATAGATGTATATGCATAAACAGAGTCTTTAGGGTGCAAATGTGTGTGAAAATAGATTTATATGTCTGAAGAGAGTACAAATAAAAAAAAATCAAATTTCCTTTTGTCAGATATAACATCATTTAAAATTAAATTCATGCCTCAATAATAAATTTTGATTTTACCGGTAATAATATTTTAAAATGTACTCACTTGCATTAAATTATCTAAACCAAACAGGAAGCCATCTTCATGGTTACCTATTTGCCAAGGTAACCTATGTGAAATTTCACAGCCATCTTGAATAGGGTTTGTCTTAGAAAAGTCTATGACCCAAACTCCACACTTATCATATTTATCGTGCATAACTAGAACTGAACAACCAATAAGCTGAAATATAAAAAGAGAAAATTAAACATTACTGAATAACCAATAAGCCAATTAGAAAATACAAAGACATTTATTCCTTACTTAACAAGCAATAAAGCTGAAATATAAAAAGAGACAATTAACTAATAATGAACACCCAATAAGCCCATTAGCAAATACAAAAACATATATTCCTTACTGAACAAGCAATAAAGCTGAAATACAAAAAGAATACTGTTTTGCTGTCATACCAACATAGTGTAGGTCATATGGCAGCTTTGGAGCTTTACTGGTGGAGGCAGACCTCAGGTGCCCCTCTGTAAATTAGACAAAAGCACCAGAGTAGAACCACCCTTGTTCCATAAGCTAGCTGGATAGCTTCCTCATATGACATAAACCAAAGTCCATGGTAGGATTTGAACCTACAACACTGAAGGACAAGTGGTTTGAAGCCAACGACCTTCACCAAACAACTACCGATGCCCGTACAGGATTCAAACACACAGCAATAAGGAGAAACTGATTTGAATTTAGCACCACCTATTCACACAGCTATGAAAACCTCCTGTGAACCAACCTCACCTCATGGGACATGAAGAATGGCGAGTCCTCTATATGCTGTTTAACTTCTTTCAACCGACGGACCAGATCCTGTTGTACAACCCGGCTGTTATTTACAAACTTGGACAGTATGCCATGGATTTGCTCTTTAGATTTTACCCGTTTTAGATTTGTTGATGGAGTTTCACCGGACATCTGAAATAGTACAAAACCACACAGTAAAATGTTGATTTAACTCCCCACAGTGTTGGTGCAGTACTTCTAGATGCTTGCAGAAATCATGATCAGAAATTAAGAATGCATTTCATCGGGTGAAAAGGCGATATTTTAGCATTTAATCATTCAAGCGTCATGTCCGGTATATACCCCATATAATATTATGTTATTTAGTGTGGTGCTTCAACACTGTTTTAGTCTCATTTGTATAATGCTAGCCCTAAAATAATCTTACAGTCAAATGAGGTGTTACACAGGTGCATAAAATATGAATTGAGACACAGAGGTGCTTGAAACATGACATATAATATAAAGTTACTAACTATAAATGTATTTTTAAATAGGCTTAATTTTTTTTTTCACTTAAAAAATGTCTTTTAACATAATTATTTTCTGATCTTGCAGTTAAACTAGAAACCAAATTCTAAATACAATGTAGTACATAGAATATTATATAAGTTTAGAATGTAGAAATGTGACTAAAAACACATGGATGCCATTTTTAGTCAATATATACAACCAGACAGCATGATAGGGGCACGGACAATTAAAGGCAAATTTATGTACCCCACTTTAAATGGGAGAGGGGGGGCATAAGAATGCTACAATATTGCTATAAAATATCAGAATACAATATTTACCCTCAATGCCTCTATTCGAAACCCAAATTCCGCTGTTGAACTTTCATTTTCTCTGAACTGAAAAAGTCAATAAATCAAATAAGGAATGTCACTATGGCATGACATTATATTGTATTATTATATTGAAATATTGTAAAAATATTCCTGTACAATGTCCGGTTGAAAAACATTACATCATACAAGTACTCAAGTAGTTTAGTTTACATAATTATACATTGTTAGATTGATTAAAGCTTAAAAGCGTATTTGAACCAGTCTTGAATCTGCTTCCTGGCACCAACCAGTACTGGTGTCATATGAGGAAACATGGTGGTGACATCAGTAGGGTTCGGACCCGCCATCCCTGGGTTGTAAGGCAGCCATTATAACTGCTAGGCCACATCATTACATCACTATCTCCTGTCCATGATTTCAGGTTGTCACTAGATTTATATTGACATACACCAAACCATTCACTTCATTTTCTCATTTTAATAAATGAATAATAAAATAATAATGAAATAAATCAATGAGACACTATACAATGAATGAATGTGACACTATGCTATGAAAGAAGGTGACACTTTGCTATGAATGAATGTGATACTATGCTATAAATGAACGTTATACGAGGGTTGTTCAAAAAGTTATAGGACTGCAGCTCTACTGTTCACATTTTTAAATTTACGTACAAAATTTTACATGAGACAAATATCGGAACATGTTCTCTATATACAGTGAAAAAATCAAAACAAAATGTAAACAAATGAAATTTCTGTGAAATTTTCAAATGACAAGGGGTTCCAAACGCGGCGCATGCTAACAATACAATAATTGACGTTCATGACGTCGTAAAATAAATCGAAATTGTAATAAGCGTCATTCTTTCTGAAAGTAGTCTCCCTAGTCTCTAGGTGTATGAGTCATGTAGCTTTTACTTTGCCTCATATGTGGAGATGAAGCAAGAAAAAAAGCGATCACATTCTCGTTCCACTGTTTAAAAAAAAACAAAATAAAATAAATGCCCGATAGCCGGCCATTCTCCGGGTTTTCTCGTGTTTTTTGAGTAACCTTGGAACTCAATAGGACTGAAAATGTTAAAGCAAAAGCAATTTATTTTATTAATTTACTCATGTCATCGTATGTTTTTAAAACAATATGATTATATACAGAACAATAAAGATATTTCTAAATTTAAAAGTATCATTTTCTACTTAGCACAGTCTATCGTTTATTAAAACAAGTTTTCGGAAACACTACTAATTATTACCGTTAACTATTACATTAATTCATTGATTACGTGTATATCTAGTTAAATACAATAAAATAGTGTTTATAACAAATGTCTTATTTACAATCCTTTGGTTAAAACTGAATAAGTAGACCCGTAGCAGATACAAACAACGATAAACAGTTCGCGTACCGTTTACCGTGGATTCTTTTGTACCGCTTTTGCAATTGACGTCACTAACGTCCCGTCAATTTTCAACTTTCATCCTCGCCCTTTCTTGTTAGTGATCTTGTATTTGCAGTTTTTGAATTGCTTGTGCCAGCTGAAAACAAGTGTCCTGATGGCAGGATAATTGTCCTTTTTTTATTTAATCATTTTGTATGTATCTGAATGATTATAGTCAATCTGTTGGCAAAATTTAACGATGGCACACATTTTCTGTTTGTTAACAAATGTCATATTTCTACATCTAACGCTATGACCGCTGCTGTTCAAAAATTTATAATTAGGCCATTTCATGTCCGAATGACGTCAAATTTGGACATAATGTCACATTAAAATATTTCAACGTATTGATGGAATACGAGGGAAAACAAATTGTTATTTATGAATAAATTAGAAGTAGATCTTAGCTCTAATAACTATATTTATGTGCTGCGCCGGGTGCGTGTTACCAAGGTTATTCAATAGCAAAGGAAAAGCGCGTTTAGCACAATAGATTAAAAAACTTATGTTTGATTTGTAGAAAACATTTTACGATTGCTGTACATATGAAAATATTCTAAATTGAATGAAATTTGAATACGCAAGACTCCCAGTCCTATTACTTTTTGAACAACCCTCGTACTATGCTATAAATAGATGTGACACAATGTTTTGAATGAATTAGACATTTTCATATAAATGAATGTTACATTTCTATAAATAAAGTGACACTATGCAATAAGTGAAAGTGACACTGACGTATAAATGAATGTGACACTATGCAATAAATGAATGAGACACTATACTATGCATGAATGTGACACTATGCTTTGAAAGAAGGTGACACTATGCTATAAATGAACGTGATACTTTGCTATAAATGAATGTGATACTATGCTATAAATGAATGTGATACTTTGCTATAAATGAATGTGACACTATGCTATAAATGAATAAGACACTAAGTTATGAATGAATTAGACATTTTCATATAAATTTCATATAAATGAATGTTCATAATAAATGAAAGTGACACTATGCAATAAGTGAAAGTGACACTATGCTATAAATGAATGTGACACTATGCTATAAATGAATGTGACACTAAGTTATGAATGAATTAGACATTTTCATATAAATTTCATATAAATGAATGTTCATTATAAATGAAAGTGACACTATGCAATAAGTGAAAGTGACACTATGCAATAAATGAATGTGACACTATGCAATAAATGAATGTGACACTATGCTTCAAATGAAAGTGACACGATGCTTTGAAGAAATGTCACATTATGTTTGGAAAGCTGTAGCAGTATGCAATGAATGGAAGAGACACTATGCTATAAATGAATGTTAAACAATGCTATAAATGAATGAAACACCAGGCTATTAATGAATGTGACACTATGCTGTAAATGAAACTGACACTATGCTATGAATGTGACACTATGCTATGAATGTGACACTATGCTATGAATGACTGTGACACTATACTATAAATAAATGTGACATTAGGTTATGAATGAATGTGACATTGAGTTATAATTGAGTTCAACACTACGCTATGAATGTGACACTATGCAATAAATGAATATAACTCTCTGATATAAAAATGACACTATGCTATAAATGAATGTGACACTATGCTATAAATGAAAGTGACATTAGCCATAAATTAATGTGACACTATGCTATAAAAGAATGTGACTCTATGCTATAAATAAATGTGACAATACACTATGAATGAACGTGACATTTCTACCTGCATATATCGTAATTTTGTAATACTCTGACTCTGCCTCTCTTCGTCAGTTGGCGCCGCTGGATCTAGTGCCACCATTTTATCATACAAATCTTTCCGTAATGCTGTGTTCGATACTTCTGATTCAAGGAATGTTCTAAAATAAAATAATTTACATTAAAAAAAAAACATTTTTCTTTTGATTTACCATATTTATATTTGATGATTTTAGCACTTTTTGTAGCAGAGTTTCATTATCATTTCGGTATTTCAAGACATACTGTAACTGTAGTAAATGCAATTTTCATGCTCTAATGGAACAGGTAAACCTTAGTGGTTTTATATTATATTTCATAATTCAAGTACCTGCGCGTATCATTTCATATTTTATGCACCTGTGTGTCTCTGAGAAAAATAACCGATCTAAGCTTTGTTGTGTAAAATAATTCAATGCCTTGGGCAAGATTCAAACAGATCTTAAATTTGTAGTGAACAGAATTCCTAGTCAATGGCCACTTTAACCACTTTGCCAGATTTAAATTATTATTCAACAGTTGTTTTTATTTTTTAATTTCAAGTCTGTAAATCACAGATAAACATTCCACCACTGTTTCAATTTCAAACAAAAACAAACTCATAAAAATAATACCCATATTCATTAAGTCGCAATAAAAATACTTTTTTTTTCTTGCATTATACTTCTTATGCATATATATTTAGATGAGAAAATTTAATGAACACAATAACATTTAAAATAGGGCAAAGGAGACAAACAGTGGAAATAAGAGATACCATGAGTAAGCAATTTCCTTGTAAGTATCTTAATTACTGCGAATTCACTTATATTCGTGGGCATGAAAGTTCGTGGTTTTATCAAAACGGGCATTTTCGTGGGTTCTTAAATTCGTGGATTTTCGTTTTCTTGTAAAAAAAAAAATTCAGTAACCTAATGCAAAGTAATCTATATCGCCGAACATTTTTACTTACAACATGTACATAATTATCTTTACTTGTCACACAGCTGTTGTCAATAAATTTAATCGTTGCCTCTGGGTATAACTCTAATACAGCACAATTTCTGCCGATAATTGACTGAAATTAACACATTTATGTGACATGATATGCACCTCCATTGGACACACTGCCCCTGTAATTCGCCGATGTAAACATTGCATAATTTATGCGACACCTGGCACGTTTTAACCAGCGAGTTTAAAAGTTTACACTTAACATATTTGACAGTAACTACACGCAACGCCACAGCGACTGTGTAAATTGACATGCATATAAATTATTTTCGGTAAGTAACACGAGTTTATGTGGATCTTGTAAAAGTCGGTGGTGTCTTTGATGTTTACGGGATAGCAATCGCGCAAATACTGATTAAAATTCATATAGACTGAAGCATTTAAAAACAACGAAAGAAAGTACAATAAATCTGTTTTAGCGATCGCAGTTTTGTGTACTTACGACATTTATATCGAAGACTTTTATTTAAAATTAATAAGAGCAAACTGTCAAATTTTATTAGCGCTAATTATTGCACTGCCTGGGTTCCCATATTAACTCGATTATGTCAAGTATTCTTGTTAACACAATCAAGTCCTAGTAGACTACAAAGATCAAGTATGTATATGCGACATTTGTGGCAGTAAATTGAGGACATATATACGAGTTTTCTTTCAAGTTTCTTAAATATTGCAAACGGATTTAATATGTCACTAACCTGGTTATCTGTCTGTACTTACATTCATTTCACGAAATATCGGCCGGAAAAAAGCCGACGCATGTTTATAATATATAGAACAGAGACAGGGTAAGAAGTATTTGTTGGGATAAAAGTTCGTCGGATCTTAAATTCGTGGATTGACCTACCCACGAAAACCACGAAAATTCGTGCCCCACAAATAATAATGATTTTACAGTATATTAAACATGAACATTTTCCTTATTTCTATTTACGTCTTGGAAAATGAAACATAATTAATAGATATTAGAATATAAAAGGACCATTATTATGATGGATATCTTTTACCAAATAAAGAAGAAATTTTATGGACTATCCATGGATATTTTACACCAAATAAAGAAAAAAAAGGACCATCCATGGATATTTTATACCAAATAAAGAAGAAAAAGGACCATCCATGGATATTTTATACCAAATAAAGAAGAAATTTTGAGGACTATCCATGGATATTCTATACCATTAATAAACAAGAAAAAGGACCATCCATGGATATTTTTACACCTCTTAAATTGTAGTATGACCTAACCCTATAATTGACCCCCTAAAGTGTAATATGACCCGTATTGACCTCCTAAGTTAGGAACTATGTACAAGTATTGATCAATTTAACAATAAAATACTGACCGTATACCCATTTTCACGTCCATGATACTTGGGTCTGTGAAATGTTGCAGTAAATCCTCTATCTCTATAAAATCTAGATCAAATATGTCAAGGTTAATACGGTAATCTCTTAGTTATAAAAGTCAAACTTGTATTGCAAACTTGTATTAAACACAAAATTTGAATGATCAATCACAGCCATTACCATATAGGGAGACTGAAACAGAAAACCTGTCATTCATCAAAGGAACTCCACTATTTTTTGGTCCCATTATGCCTAGAAACATAAAATATGAATTTTTTTTGCATAGGTCAACTCATTAAAGCTAAAAAAACTAGAAGGGTTTTTGTCACAAAAACATATGTCTCCCAAAACTGTGTATGGTCACTCATGTGAAGTTTCATTGAAATCGCAACAGAAGCTTGACCTGTGAAAGCCAGCCAAGATTTTTCTATTTCTAGCTCTGGCGGCCATTTTGTGCAGCGAAGCGGAACATGCCCATGATGTGCACAACTAGGAATGGTACTGATCACTACTGTAAAGTTTGGTTGAAATCTTACCAGTAGTTTGACCTGTGAAGGGTGGACAAGCTAAATGTGGACGTACGGACAACGGATGGACCACCAGAGGGATGAATGGACAGACAGAAGGCGAAGGCAAAAACAATATGTCTATATATGAAGGCCATACAAGATTTTTCTATTTTTAGCTTTGGCGGCCATTTTGTGGAGTGAAACGGAACATGCCTGTGTTGTTCACACCGAGGAATGGTACTGATCATTCCTGTAAAGTTTGGTTGAAATCCCACCAGTAATATTTGACCTGAGAAGGACGGACAGTATTTTTTTTTTTAGCTCTGGGGGCCATTTTGTGCAGCGAAGCATAACGTGCCGGTGTTGTGCACAACAAGGGATGGTAGGGATCATTCCTATAAAGTATTGTTGAAATCCTACCAGTAGCTTGAACTGTGAAGGCTGGACATTTTTTTTCTATTTTTAGCTCTGGGGGCCATTTTGTGCAGCGAAGCAGAACGTGCTGGTGTTGTGCACAACAAGGGATGGTAGGGATCATTCCTGTAAAGTTTGGTTGAAATCCCACAAGTAGTTTGACCTGTGAAGGCCGGACAAGATTTTTCTACTTTTAGCTATGGAGGCCATTTTGTGCAGCGAAGCAGAACATGCCCGTGATGTGCACAACCAGGCATGGTACTGTAAAGTTTGACCTACAATATAATTATGGCACATAAATCTGAAAAAATATTTCCAGTCTTGTCATGTCATAATACCTCTATGACCACCATTTTAAAATCTTTTTTGTTTTTTTACATCAAATAATTCTGCATAAAAAAACTAATCAGAACTGGTGACCCTTTGGATCTTTAAAAAAAAATCTTTTTCTTATGATTTGACCTAGTGACCTAGTTTTCTAAACAAGATTACCATCTCTGACCTTGACCTGTCTCCTGATCAGTTTATTTTTTGAACAAATTCAAACATTATTACTTTTTATTAATTAAAGTATACTGCATTTCATAATACCGCACATTAGTTTGTTTGTTTATTTTGTTTGGTCTTAATGCACACAAACACAGTTTAGGTCATATGGCACTGAAACAGGAAAAGATCATTTTACTTAACCTCAAGTGTTACGAACTAAAAGCAACATCAAGGGGTCAAAACCACCTGACACCTGCTGAAGCTAAGAGATGCATTGACCCAAGCACATTATAAAAGTCTAATTTTATTAAATAATCATGACAATAATATTTTACCTAATTACATGTATATATACACATCAGCTGCTGTAGATTAATGATTTATTTTCCCCTTTATCCTCAAGCAAAAAACGATTATATTTCAAAGCATGTGAACTCGAAACTGCACATTATTCTACAAGAACAAGCAAAAATTAATATCCAATTTCCTTAATAATCAATTTTGCTGTCAGATCATATTTTCTAAAGAGCATCCCAATATAGATAATTAATCTTGACTTGATTGGATTTATATGAAATCGTGCTATCCTTAAATTAGTGTATACAATGAAGTACAATGTCATAACCTAGAGTAGATGCTAAGTGGGCGATACATTATAATGAAGAATCTTAATAATAATTGTGTATAAAAGTAATGGTATTATACAAATGTACTAGTTATGTCCATGACATAATTATCACCATAATTATCACCACAATTATCATCATAATCAACAATATGTCAAATCAGAATGGCACTATTGTACAAGTGTATTTCTATAGAAGTAGATATAATAGTCTGACCTTAATGTGAGAAAAAAATTGTCATTTATTTCATACACGCAACTCTACCCTGATGTGAACAGTTCTTAATGAAACTGCCTTTAAAAAATGTCTTTATTTGGCCTCTATTTTATGCAAGAAAATCACTGTATCTCAAAGGCATTATATTTTCATTACAAAAGTACTATTGGAACATTTCAGACCTAAAATGATACAAAACTGGCAGATCTCTCATTACCAGTGACTTCTTCTTACTAGTCTCAAAAAAAGGCAAATTTATTGCCTCGTAAACATTATATTAAATATGTTTTGTACACAACTATAAATATTTTACTAACAACTAAACTGTCATCTGTGGAGATTTTTATAAACATCTTTTTTCTCTCCAGGGATTATAATTATACAGAATCAATAGTTACAGAAACCTGTAACTCATACTAAGAACCGATTTTTTGCGAAAAAAAAAATATGATGATTCTAAGATGTACTGTACATTTATAAAGGATACATTCAGAGTTATATTCGACTTCTCTATAAAACAAAGGTACGATGCTATGAGCAGTGTCTTCCATTAACGCCTCGTACGCCTGTGTCTCATTGTTATCTTTCGTGTAGCGCTTCTTCCATATTGTATTTGGCCCGGCTGGCGCAAAACCCCCTAAAACAGATATTCGAAATAATTTTACAATGAAAATCCTGCAAAATAAGTACATTTGTGTGTATACCTTAGCTTTTAGCTGTTCATTTAATTCAGGTTATAGTATAAATTATTTTTGCAGTTGTTACATTATTCAATAAGACAGCGCACTCAACTATTCTCAGTGGTTGACAGCAAGGGGCAAAACTAAAAAGGTAATGTGACCTGTGCCCATCAGTTAGATTATAAACTGAGAAGATAATCAACTAAATCAAACTAAAGATAATCAACATGCATGCAAAAATTTAACCAAAGTGTGATGGTAACATTATGCCGACACAGACATAGGGGTGAGTACAATAGCTCTCCCTATCTTTTAAATTTTTTAATAGTCAAGCCAATAAAGTTATGCTGAACATCATCCTAACATTTCTGAAGTTTGTAATGAATTTGCCTACTTTTATTTAGTTAGAACAGTCTATTAGTCTATTCAAACTTTATGGCAAAATATCTAGATAACTAGAAATGTGTCCATAGGACACGGATGCCCCCACACGCCACTGTTCTGTCAATCTTATGACTCATAGTCAAATATTTTTTGGACTACATGTGCCACAAGTTGAAAACTAAAAATCGACAAAGGGCCATAATTCTGTTAAATTTGGTCGCAGCAAAAATTCCTTCCTTTACTACCATCTACACATTAAGGTTGTTAATCCCTGGAAGTTTAAGCAAAATCTGCCATCCGGTTTAAGAGGAGTTGCGTTCACAAAATTTCTACATAGTATATAATGAAAAAATAAAAAAGGGCCATAATTCTGTTAAATTTGGTTGCAGCAAAAATTCCTTTCTTTACTACCATCTACACCTGAAGGTTGTTCATCCCTGTAAGTTTAAGCAAAATCTGCCATCCGGTTTAAGAGGAGTTGCGTTCACAAAATTTCTACATAGTATATGGTGAAAAACTCAACAAAGGGCCATAATTCTGTTAAATTTGGTCCCAGCAAAAATTCCTTCCTTTACTACCATCTACACATTAGGGTTGTTCATCTCTGTAAGTTTAAGCAAAATCTGCCATCCGGTTTAAGAGGAGTTGCGTTCATAAAATTTCTACATAGTATATAGTGAAAAAATCAACAAAGGGCCATAATTCTGTTAAATTTGGTCACAGCAAAAATTCCTTCCTTTACTACCATCTACACATTAATGTTGTTCATCCCTCTAAGTTTAAACAAAATCTGCCATCCGGTTTAAGAGGAGTTGCGTTCACAAAATTTCTACATAGTATCTAGTGAAAAAATCAACAAAGGGCCATAATTCTGTTAAATTTAGTCGCAGCAAAAATTCCTTCCTTTACTACCATCTACACATTAAGGTTGTTCATCCCTGTAAGTTTAAGCAAAATCTGCCATCTGGTTTAAGAGGAGTTGCGTTCACAAGATTTCGGGACGTACGGACGGACGTACCAAAATTTGATGTTTATGAGGCAAATGAGCTCATAAACACCACCTGGACCAACGTCCATAAGCAAAATAAGCTCATAAAAACAAAAAAAAACTCTTAATTTTATATTTTATGAGTTTATGTTCTTTATTTAACTACGGAATGAAGCTCATAATAATCAAATGTTGGCTCGGACGGACGGACTGATGGACGGACGTACGGACAAGAGCAACGCTATATGCTCCCACATTGTGGGGGCATAAAAATTAAACTACAGTCGGAGCAGGGGCGGCAAAATCAATAAATCAATTGTTCATATGTCCCACAGCCTGGATGGTCAAGCAAATTTTTTCCAAGAATTTACTTTATAAACATCATACAAACTAGTATTTGAGAAATATTGAGGTAAATCGGACAAGTAAGCCAAAATCAGATTTTGCCAGCCCTGCAGAGTATACTGTATATATATATGAGTATTGAACCTGGGCAGATTGCTAGAATGCGTCGAGTAGCCTGGTTCAGGTTATAAAACTGGTGACAAATGGTAATCACTATATACCTAAGTGTCATGGTTCAGAACTGTTCACTTTTTAGGGGAGAAGATGTGTAAGAGGCCGGATAGCTCAGTCGGTAGAGCTGCAGTACGGTATTCCGAAGGTCCCATGTTCGAGTCCCGGTCAGGCTGCACATTTTTCTCACCCTGTGACATAACGTTCCAGCAGATCAAGGGTCAAACTCTTACCTGGATGTCCTGCTAACTGTATCCATGTGTTCTTCCTGTTTTTCAGTATTGCATCACTTGCTGGGGCTGTCAGATCTAATGCAGTCTAAAATTAAAAAAATAATCTAATTATAGAAAATCAATGGTCTAAAAATAGATAAATAATCTAATAATAGAAAATCAATAGTCTAAAAATAGAAACACAATCTTAAATTAAAAATACAGCAGTTTGAAATAGACTAACTCCGAAATTAAGAATATTTGGGTTATTCCCAGGTAATCTGTAGGTTAACAAACTTTTACCAATAACTGGGAAAAAGCCACATAATAGCTGAGTTCCGGATAACATCTATTCTAACACTGGTAAGAAACAAGTCCCAAAATAAAAACAATTTGCCAGGTATGTAAATTAGAAATAAAACAAAAGTCTAAAGACTAATTGCAAAATTGTACAGAAACTACTGTATGTCATTAATTGTATTGTAAAAAAAAATACCATCTGATTCTGTTAATTTTAAGTCTACTGAATGTTTCCATTTTGAAGAGGCTAGAGCTGAGTGACGCCCACAATCCTTAAGGCTTGAAAACTGTTATATTCACTCAAATTAAAACATTGTTAAGTGCCTTAAAACAAATGGGGCAATAACATCTTATTTTACATCAAATTAAAAATATTTTCTAAAATCTGTTTTATAAAATTATCGCTAATTTACATGAATTTCTTTCCACACAAAATTGCAAATTTCTCAGAAATAAAGAAAATCAATACTATCTTAATTAAATTTTCTCTTTTCACCGTGACAACAGAAAACACAAAAGAAAGATTATTATATACAATATTATAACATTTTCTGTTTTAAAAAACATTATTTTAAACCATTTAAGCATGCTGGCCCAAACCAGTCGGCACTGTGATCCCTACAGTCTGATCAAGGTCTTCACTGTTTGCTATTCAGTCGGTACATATTTGGAAATTTTCCCTTCATAAAGATCTGAGTGATTATAATCCAGATTGAAAGATGAACAGGTCTCTTTATGATATTTAGCGTGGTAAAACTTCACGATATTTAGCATGGTAAGAGTTCACAATATTTAGAATGGTATGAGTTCATGATATTTAGAATGGTAAGAGTTCACAATATTTAGAATGGTAAGAGTTCACAATATTTAGTGTGTTAAGAGTTCATGATATTTAGCCTGGTAAGATTTCACCATATTCAGCATGGTAAGAGTTCACGATATTTAGCCTGGTAAGAGTTCATGATATTTAGCATGGTAAGAGTTCACGATATTTAGCCTGGTAAGATTTCACGATATTTAGCATGGTAAGAGTTCACAATATTTAGCATGGTAAGAGTTCATGATATTTAGCATGGTAGGAGTTCACGATATTTAGCATGGTAAGAGTTCACAATATTTAGCATGGTAAGAGTTCATGATATTTAGCATGGTAAGAGTTCATGATATTTAGCATGGTAAGAGTTCACAATATTTAGCATGGTAAGAGTTCACGATATTTAGCATGGTAAGAGTTCACGATATTTAGCATGGTAAGAGTTCACAATATTTAGCCTGGTAAGAGTTCACAATATTTAGCCTGGTAAGAGTTCACAATATTTAGCATGGTAAGAGTTCACAATATTTAGTATGGTAAGAGTTCACAATATTTAGCATGGTAAGAGTTCACGATATTTAGCATGGCAAGAGTTCATGATATTTAGAATGGTAAGAGTTCATGATATTTAGAATGGTAAGAGTTCATGATTATTAGAATAGTAAGAGTTCACAATATTTAGCATGGTAAGAGTTCAAGATATTTAGCATGGTAAGAGTTCATGATATTTAGAATGGTAAGAGTTCACGATATTTAGCCTGGTAAGAGTTCACAATATTTAGCATGGTAAGAGTTCACGATATTTAGCATGGTAAGAGTTCATGATATTTAGAATGGTAAGAGTTCACGATATTTAGAATGGTAAGAGTTCTCAATATTAAATTTTAGCATGGTAAGATTTCACAATATTTAGCATGGTAAGAGTTCACGATATTTAGCATGGTAAGAGTTCACAATATTCAGAATGGTAAGAGTTCATGATATTTAGCATGGTGAAAGTTCACTATATTTAGCATGGTAAGAGTTCACAATATTTAGCGTGGTAAGGGTTCACAATATTAAGCAATGGTAAGAGTTCACAATATTAAGCATGGTAAGAAATTAACGATATTTAGCATGGTAAGAGTTCATGATTATTAGAATAGTAAGAGTTCACAATATTTAGCATGGCAAGAGTTCAAGATATTTAGCATGGTAAGAGTTCATGATATTTAGAATGGTAAGAGTTCACGATATTTAGCCTGGTAAGAGTTCACAATATTTAGCATGGTAAGAGTTCACGATATTTAGCATGGTAAGAGTTCATGATATTTAGAATGGTAAGAGTTCACCATATTTAGAATGGTAAGAGTTCTCAATATTAAATTTTAGCATGGTAAGATTTCACAATATTTAGCATGGTAAGAGTTCATGATATTTAGCATGGTGAAAGTTCACTATATTTAGCATGGTAAGAGTTCACAATATTTAGCGTGGTAAGGGTTCATAATATTAAGCAATGGTAAGAGTTCACAATATTAAGCATGGTAAGAAATTAACGATATTTAGCATGGTAAAAGTTCACAATATTAAGCGTGTTATGAGTTCACAATATTTAGCTTATGATAAGAGTTAAAAAGTTCAGTAAAATGAACCAGAAAAATGTAAATGTACAAGAGAGTTTGGGGTTGTACTGTTTTGGGGGAAATTCATTAGCTTGATCAAATATTTACTGATCTTGGACTTTGTGACTTGTAATTAAATAATATATTACTGTATCATATTGTTTGATTTTATTAACCTGTCAATTCCATACTGATTATACGGTCAATGCACAGAATATATTAATATCCGATAAATGTTCGGTAAATTCCGTGAGATGTACGCAGTAAGATGTGATTAAATTAATCTTGTTTCTATGAAGTAGTTACACTGACCGTTATAGCGAAATAGGGTAAACTACGGGTATATATAATGTCTAAATGCCCTACGTGTTGTAAGATCGAGACAGCGTATGTCCAGTTTTTTTTTCTTATTCATAATTATTTCCAACATTTTTGAAGTTATGGTTGTTCTTTCTGTTTTAATATGCTTTGCATTTTTTTGGTAAATACTTAACTTGTTTAAGAATTAATATTCAAAATTCATTTGGATTTAAATCAATAAATGTCATTTCAGTGCCGTAAAATACAATACAAAACGTGAAAATTCAATGTTTCTTAGTTGTTTCATATCCGTGTAGACAATTTTGCAAACGCTTGACAATTTTCATTAAAATATACTTAAATATAAAGAAAGAATAAGCCTAAAAAGAATTTAAAAATAATGGATCGAACTTCGGACCTCTCGTACATTAAGTAATCACTTAACCGACTGTGCTATTGCGGATGTTACGAGAATTTACATTAAGCTAGGGGGAGTTTTCAAAATGTTAGTTAAATACTCCATATTAATTCTCGTAAAATAAACGGACAAACCCGAAGTGGGATCGAATATTTAAATGAGTGCTATAATGTATTCATAATTGACAGGTCAATAAAATCAGACTATAATATGTGTTTGAATGTTTTCTTTCCAGGACTTTTATGTTTACTTAATTTATCAAGTCATAATTATCTATTGATAAGATACTAGATGTTGATTTTTACTTCTATTTAGCTGATATCATAATGTACACACATATATAACTTTAAAAGTAAACATATCCATTTTTTGTTTTACCTGTAGTCAAATATTAATACCACAACAAATTTTTATCAAATCTTATGTATGTTTAAACAGTATAAAGTAAACATGGATAAGCCATTATCATACCTTCCTAATATTTAACTTTAAGGTTTGGGCCTTAATTAAGTAGATCTGAGTCAGTATACAAATTATCTAATAATACATTTTGTATTAGTAAGTATTTTCTATCCCCTTTCATTAATTCTTTTTGAGACAAAAAAAAGGAGAAAAAATGGAATCCGAAATGGTAAAATTGAAAATGTTGTAGGCTCTTAAATTTCTGATTAAACCTGTTAGTGGACGGTAGTGATAATTGGAAGCTACCATACACGCCCCCTAGCATCGCCTTATTTTCAACATAAGAAAATTAACATGAAAATGGTGAAATACAGCCGAAGATTTGTTCATATGGCAACAGACATGGAACCTTTAATGTGACACATTTGTGTTACTGTATGTACACGCCCCCTATCACCGGCTTATATACACAGAATTTTTAACATGAAAACAGAATAATGGTGATTGGTTATTGGTTCAAATACCTAAATATTCCATTGAATGAGCAGACAAACAGCCTGGTCAGACTGGACTGCAGCGACGTGTAAGTTGGCTTGACATCTATATTGGTGTCATATAGGGAAGTCATTATTGCTAGTGACGTTTAAATCAATTTAGTAATTAATGCATCGTTGAGGTTATAATTTATGACAACTTTCCTGCTTTGCTGGTAGGGGACGATCTTTGCATTGTTTCAGGAAGTCATTTGAATTAATGGAATCAACCATGAACCTTCCATATTGCTGGCAAAATAGTTTTATGATATGAAATGAAAATTTGTGACAGAATTCAAAACCTTAGATACTATAATAGGCGAGTGATTCAAGTCAGTTAAACACACAATGACATTACTGGCCCTGAAAATTGTATATTTAACCTTACAATAATTTGCCTTTGTCATTCTGCATTCATAACTTAAAAAATGCCAAATTCTTGATGCAAAATTATAAGGGAAAAAAAAAATTATTATGGGCTCTTTATAATGTAAAATGTAAGATAATGTAATGTTTTATTTTTAAATTTTTATTTATCATCCCACAAAAATCTAGCAAAATAAATGAAATGGTACAACAATTGTAAGGTCACATCAGTGGCTGAGGAATGTTGCTGATATTTTCACAAAAAAAAACAACCCAAAACACTGGACACTATAATATACAGACCAGTATACAAAAAGCAACAGATTGCATTGAAACAAAATAAAATAAATGAAATCCTTACTAAAGCCA